GGGGTAGCCAAAGGGGGAAAGGGGGGGCGTGAAGCCAACAACATCAAAGACGCAAAGCTTGGGCTCTTTTGTTGTCTCTCCGCCTTATCCTTTCACTCAATAAACAGAAACGGTTGCTTTGCTTTTTTTTATTTCCCTCTCCCAACGTCTGCTCTTGCAGCCCGACCAACCCGTCTCTGGGCTCCGTTTAATCTATTTGGGTAGCATCGAGCTGCCTGCTGCTTTGCCACGCGGCACGCCGACGCGCGGTTTTGCAGGGCACACGATGCGCTGGTTGTCTTCTGCGCGTCTCAACCCGCAGGGATTCTCATTCCCGTTAACGTCAGGATGGCTAATTCAGCTTGTGAGCCTCGCTGCGGGGGACACGTATTCAGACAAGATACGAGTCGTATTGCCGTATAGCACTGTATGAGATTGAGGCGTGTTGGTACAGTATGCGGCGAACAATAATTACGGAGTCATTCATTGATTAGAGCCCTGCATTGCCCCGACATTTCAAGGGGGACACGGCCCTGCACCGCCAGTTCATCGAATAGGTTCAATCTCCTTTCATGTCGCCATCGGCAGGGGTCCTCAAAACGGCGGTATGGGCCTTTGATTCGTCTCTTGTTCTTGATTTGATTTCGGGGCCCAAAGAGCGGTATCCCGTAGCGAAAGATGCAATGATTGACAGCGATGGAGCCAGATCCTACGGCTGTTCCGTTGCTGCAGCTCTCTACTGTACAGATTTGGTTGGGGGTGGCTCAAATCCCTCAGCTCTCGGTCTGAGCCACACAGTCGCCTAGCACACTGTAAGATGCTTCTTTTTTGTGTTTTTTTAACCCACAAATCACAACGGAATAACGCCAAAAGGGCAAACCGAAACGGTCTGTCACCAGCCCAATCGGCCTCGACATGTGCCATTCGGCCCCATCACGCCGAAGAGGCACAAGGACGCGGCCACCCTCCATCATGGCTCGTCTAAAGCCACTCCAAGCAGTCTAAAGGGCCTCTCTTCCGTCTTTCGGTCTTTCTGCCCTACGAGCTACAGACTGGGGTCTGTACCCGAGCGTTTCAAGCCTATCCCCGGCAAAGAGAATAACGGTTCCCAAAAGGGGCCCGCCGTTTCCGCTAATGCCGCACGTACTGTGGGTGAGGCAAGGCAACCTTGATGCAAAGTAAAGGGTCCCAGGCTCCGCTAGGCCGGGGGAATCTTGACTATCCGGGGCATCTGGGCGGGCCGCCCTCGGTGGGAAAGAGAGCACGCTCACATATATCCGAATTGCGACTCCCTTATTTCCTTTCCTTTTTCTCCGGCCGGTTTTCACTAATATTGCCATCCAATGTGAGGGATAAGAGATGAAAGGAAAACGGGAAAAAGGGCCGGTAAGGAAAGCTGCAGCGTATTACCAAGTTCTAGGCTAGATGGACTATTTGTTTGCCTGCCTTGCCAATCAAGTGCGACCACCAGTCAAGCAGACGCATAACGAATACCAATCAACAAGAAGTGCATGCAAGTAAAATTAAAGCACAAGATAAAAAGAAAAGAAACTTTCTTAACCAGACGCCCGGATCGACATGCGGTCCAGACGTCAGAAGAGCGGTCGGTCTCCAAAGTTGCATTACCACGGCTATCAAGAATGTGACTGGTCTCTGCCGGCACAACCGACTTTCTTTTCTTTCTTTTTTTCTCTTGGCCGGAACACAAGAATAACCGTCGGTCGCATGTATAGCATAAATGTTTGTTTCTTGATTTCTTTTCCACTAATTCCGAAAGCGTGGTTTATCGGAATCTTCCTCATTCTCGCTGATATTCGGCGGTAGATTCCGAGCGATGGCCGACTGCTTGTGTGTTAGTCGTTGGTTATTAACGCAATGCTTGTGCCAATCTCGGCACCCAAAAGAAAGAAAACGGAGGATGCATGTAGCTTGTTGGGTGTCTCTCTCTTTCATCTGATCCCGCTTTGATAGGGCATGAAATACTAAGTAATCCCTTTGTCTGATACGGTAGAATATTTGCCGCATCAGGCAATTCCAAGCGCCCAAGGCAGAAGTGAGATGAGCCAACAACTCTCCATCCAGCCAATCACCCGCAACACACTCGTGATGCCTGCACTGCCCGTTGATTGCCTGCCGACAACCTACATTAAATCCCAAATTTCTCTTGCTTCACAAGTCAGAACTCGCCACTATCCACAATGAACGCCTCCTCATCTCCGCCTGAATCCCATCGCAGACCCCAGCCAAACCTCATCAACAAGACATATTTCCCCAACCATATAAAAGAAACACACTCATATCACAGTGCTTCAATATCCAACCGCCGCAATCAACTCCCACACCACCTCTTCGGAGCCGACCAGTCACCAACAACCCCAACTAGCCCAAGAGCAGCAACTCTTCCAGACCGTCACAGCAATTCGGCACCGAGAGCCCTACCAGCCTACCTTATCAGCCGCCCGCATGCATGCACGGCCGATCGGCTCGCATCAGGCAGACAAAATTTTCAGGGTTCAAGTCCTGCCCTAACAAGTCGATATGCGGCCCGAAGCACCCCGCGAATCGACCTATGCCGCATACCTGTGAGTTTCATTCCATGTAGGCGCAATATGTGTGACTGGATGCATCATCTCTCATCTCCAGGCATACAGCATAGCTACAGGTAAACCGACTACTAGTATTAGGCAGCACAAGTCACACAAGTCAAACAAGACTCACTGGGCGAAAAGACTCTCACGCACAACCCATAATATGCACGGCCGAAGGCTTTTGCCTAAACGACAGGGCCAGCTGTATCGATCTGATTGAAAGATGCGTGCATATGGCCGGTGAATCACTCGCATCATCTGCCTAAGCCCCCCTTGAGGCCCATCCTATCGAATCTCTGGGAATGGAGATGGAGGGAGGGGGCGTGTATATAGGCGGGAATCGGGTTGAGGGTATGCATCACATTAAAAAAACCCCAGAGCGAATAGTAATTACATGTATTATAATTATAATGCTAATAGTCCGTCAAAAATGCAACGAAACCATTGCCAAGTCATACGCTCTTACACTGCACTCCATCTCTTCTTTTTTCTTGCACATGTTTCTGATTCTTATTCCCCTTCTGACTCATACATATTGTGTGCGACTCACACCTCCAAAAAAGAATGCTTCGAAATATCCCGCCCTTACATGTGGCTTACTGCTGCACACACACCTTATTCGTCGATTATCCTTCTTCTTTCGGGGCCCCGTGGCCGTTGCTCAATGTTGCACATGTCAGCGTCCAATTAACTGACCAGGCAATCCAGTACCGACGCCGATCGCCGACCACAAGCGCAACAAAGAATGGCGCAGGGCGCAAATCACGGCATGGGATGAAAACAAGATGAACTGCGGATTGATTGATGGGATTATAATTGATAGCGACACCGCCAATCTGAGATGGATGGATGCACAAATATCGCGAGTAGTAGCACAACTGACATCTTCAACAAACGTCAGGTGTCGACAACAATAACGGATTGCCTCTTTCGGCCTACCGTTTCTACCCCGGATTTTGCTGCATCGTCCATCAAACACTGTACAGTAGCATCATCTGCAGAGTCCACCTGTCAAGCCATGACCTCTTGGACATTTTAATCAGTAGCAGTATGGAGCAGACTACAGTTATTCGGCGATTCGTGAGCCGTTACGGAATCCACCCAATAATTCGCCGTTAGTTGATTGTCCGGATCCTCTCTCGGCGCAATAGCTCGTTCCATTTTGCCATTCTCCTCCTCTTTTCGCGGCGGTTGGCCACTTAGCCGCCCACTTGGAGTATATCCAGCCCCAGCCGAATCGTATCCAGCAGTTAGCAAGAACAAGCGCCCATCTATCGTCTGCCTTTCATTACTCGTGCAAGCTTTTAAGCTATTGCTATTACTCGTACTACTGTATCTATTATTCGTATCACTATCAATCGTACCAGCATCTCCCCTGCTGCCTTGGCATATCCTCTCAAGGTCCCCATAGATGGCGGGGTTGAGCCCGCTTCAACCCCGCATATGGTCCGTCGAGACCACTTACACTGACAACGAAGATGCTCGTCGCTAGCAAAAAAACCTGAAATCGACCCTTAACAGGATCCGTTGCTTCTTTATTCAGAAGGTAAGCAAGCACAAGCGAGTGGCAGTGGCGAGAAGCGAGTAAGCAAAAGAAGGGGAGATAATGAAAACGAACTCCTTCGGGGCGTGTTATCCAGGCCTCCATGTCCATGTCCATGTCCATGTCTATCAATGCTGTGCCCTGCTATCAACCAGGGCGTCTCATTTCGGCTTGTGCCCTGCCGAAGAGGCAGTACTTGGCAACGTTACAAAAATACGTGCGATACAATAAGTAACCGTATCAAAATGCCCTTGCGCTAATACTTTGCATCAACTTGCCTATACCGTCACCTTGAAACGTTTCTTCACCGTTAGCACTAGAACGGAGATCATGTGCCAGTATTTTGTGCACGCGCCCTGAAACTCGCCCTGCTTTCCAAAGCCGATGCTTCCCACGTCCACCTCTCAAACACACAGCGGAAAAAATGCCAATGTAGAAATCGGAACATTTGCAGCAAGATCTAAGATGGTAAAAGAGGGAGAGGGCTTTTTTGAAGTCATCAGGACAGATAAGGCGACTTACATGCTAGCATGCTTAGCTTCCGAAATTTCACGATGAGGCGTATATAGTTGAGGCGTACGTGGGAGGCCAAGATGCGCATATTCGCACGGTATTGTTGGGAATACGCCTGGAGAAAGCCATCCCATATCAGTTGAAAACGGCCAGCAATTTTGATGTGGCTGAAAGGCGATTGCTATGCGTCTTTTATAGAAACGCTGCCATTGGTCACTGTGTTACTTGAAATCGCTGCTGGCTGGTTCCATATTTCTAGCCTCATGCTTGCAGGGATCTCAACTCAGTATTTCCGTCGAGCTTATCCAGAGAAGAAACAAAAAAAAACTATCACTCTAACTCTAACTCTAGAACTTCGCTTTGGCCAATCCTTCAATTCAATCCCTAGGAACAAGCTGTCCATTTGCAAGCAGCCGATCTCCGACCTTGAGCTTGGTTTGCGCAGGACGTTCCCACTCCAAAATGGCGTTGCCCTTTTTCTTCTCATTGAAACGCTGATGAGATAGGATCACATGTGATTGAGTCCCCACGATGTTACCGTCTCTATCTTTTGCATCCCAATCCTCCGGGGGTGGCTGTGGGAATTCTGGCCACTCAATGTACTCAGACGCTTCTTTATAATGAGAAATCTGTCTTCCGGTTCGTCTTTTATCCACCCAGTCGTTCAATACCGCTCGATACTCCGAAACAGGCTGATCAAGCTTAACATCTGGGTGCTGGACCCATTCCTCCAGCCCTTGTACATCGGCTGGGTTCTGCTCACTGTGTCGAACATCTCGAAAATGTGTGTCGCGCGTAATAATTTCGTAGAGGGTGAATATAACCCCTTTAACGTCGTTGCGGTCCTCTCCATATCCAATGCCGTCAATCTGCCCGCAATAGTTGAAGTCGAACAACATCCAGGGCATCGGTTTTGGGATCAATGAGAAGATTCCGTGCGGAGATGTCCTGATGAGCAATGCCATACATACTTGAAGTTCAAGTCATCGGCAACAGATGTCAGCTGCCGGAGCCATTCGAGCTTAAACACACGCGGCTTATTTTCGCTCAACGTGCCGCCAGGAATATAAAGGCTAGTAAAGCCGACGACGCAGCCGCGTAGCTCGTCCAGCACAAGTCGATCAAACGGAACAATGTGTGGGTGCGCCGGCAGACGCATCCACACGTTCATCTCGTGCCAAAACGTGTGCAGGAACTGCAAAAGGAAGTAGTACTTGAAGGCAGCCTTTTTGGGCTCGATTGCATCTCCATTGGGCAAATAAGAAACAAGATCGACATTCGGGCCAAATCGATCCAACTCCAGTAAATCTGAACGGATCACAGCGTTGACATGTTTGGGGGACTGCACATCCTGCAGCGGAGGGTAGTAAACACACACGGTTCGGTCGTCTTCAGGCTTGGTCGATACTGAGATCAACTCGCCATGCTGCGATAAATGAATGGCATGGACTTCAGGTCCCAGAGAGTCGATGTGCTTCTTGAGATGTCTAACTGCAGTATCCTCGCTTTCTTGCTCCTCGTCCATGATAACAGAGATTATGCCCGCCAGGGGTGATAAGACCCCCAGGCGCAAAATACCGCCATTCGTCTTCAATCATGTCTCTCTAGTATTCAGATATGATAGCAGAAGAGGACGGTTGAAAGGAAGACTCAAGAGGAAACGGCCGCAGTGGTGAAAATGGTGTTCGCGGCGTGAAACCGTAAAGGCAGCGAAAAAAACGAAGTTAAATATTGAATTCACCACCTGCAGATTGAAGGTACAGGGATCCAGGTACATGTAGGTGCCTGTGGCTGTGGCGCCTTAGCGTCAAGCAGCTCCGTCCCGTCTACCTGATGATATTCAACGCCGTTGGTCGACGCGTTCAATATGCTCGCTCATTAAGGACAATTCCTTACAGAAAATGCCTTGCGTGATTTCACAGACCAACAGTTAATAGTTTTCATGACTGCGTAACAATTCAAGCCGTCTGCCCCTCCAAGTGAAGCGATAACAATTCGCGAGGGGGTGTTTAGAGCTATTGGTTGATGCAGCTTGGTTTACTTAAGGTATGTTTAGATAGGTACATGTGCGTAGAATATATACGAGCGTCTGTTTTACTTGTCTGCTGCTACTACTGCTACTACTGCTACTATTGCTACTATTGCTACTATTGCTACTATTGCTACTATTGCTACTATTGCTACTATTGCTACTGCTGCTACTGCTGCTACTGCTGCTACTATTACTACTGCTACTACTGCTACTATTGTATATTATCTTTTAAGTAAAGAAGCAGGTGTAGCTTTAATGTTTCGGTCTAACCATTTAAACTCCCTCTATGCGCATCTCGCTACATTCATATCTTGCACAGTACAAGATATCAAGGCCGTGTGAACATTTGAATACATGTACCAGATCAGGCACACGCTACTGCCGTTCGATTGCTAATTAGGCATCCTGGCACTAAACATCTTGCACGGCCATATGCCTATATCCTAGGGGGCGACTGATAATGACTATCAGACAGCGTGGTTCTTTCCCAGTCTATCAATTTTTAAAAGAAAAATTCATCAGGAAAATGCCTTGCAGTGATTCTCTAACCAACGTGCATGTAGTTGCATGCAAGCTGCGCCGCTGGTGGCTTAGCGCTGATACCATGTACATGTACTTGTAGGCGCCTGTAAGTCCACTCTTCGCACGCCGCCAAAAGTCACCATCAACTAATTTTTGATTGGAAGATACTTGTTGGTATCATGCATATAGGTAGCCAAATAATGTGCGAAAGCAGGACGCAGAGCTTTATGATCATTAGGTACAGAAATCGGGCACCGGGCATATTGGGTTGCCTCGTGCAGTATAAATAGGAACATGCCACTGCCATCAGCGCAAGGTTGCATGTAATCGGCCTGCGTTGCGGCCGGCGCGTATAATGTACGTGGCAGGAGGGACGCCCGAAGCCAATGGATTCGCAGCGCAGAGTTGTTCTGAAACAAATGGTAAGTTATGTTGGTGATGTCTTTCCTAGAAAGAACAGAGATGCATCTTGAAGCTGCTTTTCGAGAGGCCTCATGGCTGAAATATCTGCCTTTCGAAGAGCCTCGTTGCCTGTATTGTGCAAGTATATAGCTAGCAAGAGCGGCCGGAATTCAGAATGAAGAACAAGAAACTATTCTAACATCACTCGCTTCCAGAACCGTTGAAAAGAACCCATATTCAGTCGTTATCATCATCATCCCCGTTTAAGAAGATTGAACAAAAATTCCACATGTCTATCCAATCGCTTGCACAGCTCCAACGGCGCCAGCTTGGCCTACGCTCTCCCTTCTCAATCTTTCGATTCTTCAGAGTACAACAGAACCAACCACTACCGATCAAGCCTGTTCAGATCCCAGCTGCAGCAAATGCCTCTCTTGTACACAACACTCGGAACCCCAAGAAATGCACATGCGGGTGGTATCACTTCTACGGCAAATGCGGCCATTTGTACCAGCGATTTGCGGGCACGTGCGGCAGAAAGACGACAAGCTCTGGCAGAAGCGGATTCTGCACGACGCCTGCACCGAAGAACGTTATCTATGGGTATTATGTCAACGAGAAGTGTACAAATGCGAAATGCACGGTTTGTCGCAGACGGGGCCACTAGGTTGGACTTTGAATAGCGCAGCTTGGAGAATGCCTGTAATTCAGACTTCAATTGCATGTTATCACCTCTGCAGGCACGAGGCTGCGCGTAACACGCTTTACTTGCACTCTTATTCTTCATCATATATAACACTCTTTACTTGTACTCTTATTCTTCATCCTATATAACACTAAATTGGCTATTATCTCTTGCTGTTGCTGCTTCCATCATGTGCTGAGTATAAATGTCCAGTGAAAGCTAAAATATTGATATACTGCTATCACTACTACTGACGCACAATGATACTAACCCAAGATAAGTTCACTGGATGGCTTCACCAAACACCAGCCACACAGGAATAATGGCACAGTGCAACCCCAACAATCGCAATTTATGCCACAGTTCAAAACGGTGAAGAATTAATACACAATAAAGTAATAATAAAATAAAATAAAGTAGCCAGGCTGCCCTTGTTTAGGCATCAAAGCGCGCAGCACTCCAAAACATTCAATGACATCATCACTTCTTCAGCGACACTTACACGTCTCCGAAATCACAAAATCGACGTGCAATCAATATATATCAAACCTCACACCCCCCTGGTGTGGCCTCCAAACCCATTCACATACCTGTTTTTCTATTAACGCTATATTTCATCTAGTTATGCTGCTAAAATAAAAATGAATCGAAAATGAATCAAAAATGAATCCTCGATGACGACTCCGCCGCGTCGGTTCTTCGGATGGCAATTCTGCTCTCTTTTCACTTTCTGCTCGCCTTTCTGCAAGGGGCTGCATGAAACCCGCATCCCACGTTACGTCATTGCGTCATCCCGCCCTCGTCTTATTCCTCCACCCCCGAAAACTTGGTCCCCTTAAGACAGCTATTTCTCTCTCTGTTTTTCGCCTCCCCCAATGGCAGCTACTAAGTATTCTATTTGTGTTCGTTGTCCCTGTTCATGCTTTTCCATTTTCTGCTTCAGCCAACTGTGGCGACAGCTGCCGGAGATGTTTCCCCACGGAATTTGCCCTCCGCATATCGGACGGAGCCTGCTCCGGATGACGACATGTTGACCTTACCATCGAGATCTTGACCATCATCGACTTTTGGTTATTCTGCATAGCCCATCATGCATTACGGTCATGGGACGAGCTGTCGCAGCTGCTGGCACGAAGTTTGAATGAGCGTCCCATGATACATCACCTCGTCATCTGCAATATCTAGTAAAAGCTACTCTGCCATCTAGATCTGGTGACAGCCTCGGTTCAGGTACAGCTCAGCTTCAGTTCACCTCCAGCATACCCTCGATCCGCCTCCTCACCCAGTCATCACACTTGATATCCTCATACTTCTTCTCCTCGCCCTCTTTCACCACCACAACGCTGCACGTCTCATGCAGCCCAAACCCCCAAAAGAACGGGATGCTCACCCGCTCCTTGCCGCTGTAGTTTCTCGCCCGGTGCACCGTGCTGATGTAGGCATCGTTTGTGATGCGCTGCATAAAGTCGCCCAGATTCACCACCAGCGTGCCGGCGATGGGCTTTGCGCGCAGCCACTGGCCCTGCTTGTTGAGCACCTGCAGCCCGCCGTGCGAGTCTTGCCAGAGGATGGTGAAGAGCTGGAAGTCTGTGTGTGAACCAATGGACACTCTCTCTTCATCGTCGTCTTGTAGTGTCGTAGTAGTAGAATCAGAAGGCTTTTGTGTAATCGGCGGATAGTAATTCAGCCCATACGACGCATCGGGATACTTGACCTTCTCGTCAAAGACGCCCTCCTCCAATCCCAGCGACAGCGCAAAACACCTCGTCAGCGCCCTCGCCAGCTTCAGACACTCTCCAATATGCCTCACCATGCTCTCCTTCAGCCTCGGCAAGTTGCTCGTCTTCTCCCACGGATACTCTTCATTGTGCAGATGCCTCTTCACTTCCTCTGGTATATCCTCAATCCCCTCTTCCCCAACCGTAGGATCATACAGCGGGTCGTAGCGGTACGAAAACGACTCGCGCACATCAATCCCCTCGTACGGATTCAGCCGCTGCGTGTCAGGTGCCCTGTAGCCATTATTCCATTTCGCATTCTTGTAGTTGGCCTGTATCTTGGTCTCCATGTCCTGTCTGAAAAAGGCCAGACACGCCTCATAGGCATTTTGTGTCACGTCCTCGGGAATTCCGTGGTTCTTGATGTAGAAGAAGCCCATGTTCTGGGCTGCTGCGCGCACCTGCTGAGCGACGGCCTGGCGCTCGCTGAGGGACGGGCTGAAGATGGGCGAAATGTCGATGATGGGCATTTCAGAGGGCAGCGCATCACGGAGGGGAGATTTCAGGACGGTTCGCGTGATGATGCCGTTGGGCGACGCGAGGCGCAGCTGCGTCGTTGCGACTGTTTCTGCTGCCATTCTATATGAAGGTTACTGTCGTTTTGTAAATGAAGCCGTACAATGGTTCATCAAACCTTACTGGTCACTATGTAAGAGAAAAAAAAAAGCTATTTGTTTCAATCGTTCATGAAGATGGATAAGAAACAGCAGCATCAATGTCACCCACTGATAAAGATGCGGGGGATGCCGCGACATGCCTCCGGAGTGCGCCGATCTAAACAGCTCCTGCAGATGCATCTCCACAGCCTCTTATCTCTTGATGCACTGGCTTGATGGCAGGTATAGCAAGATACCATGTCACGAACCAAATACAGGCCGTTTCTAAGAAGACAGAATCGAGAGCAATGGTTTCTTTTAAGCGGCGATTGGGCTGCACTCTGTTATCTCATGGCAGTGCAGCTGCTCAACGTTGCACCGAGGACCCTTTCTTCAGCTATACGAAACCCATTAAGCCTAGCACCTCAAACTCAAGAAACATTCTCTTTGCAGATGACTTTCAAATGGATGCGAGATGAGGTGCAGCGTCTCCGAAGGCTTTCAGTTCCATTAAACCCACGGAGGGCTGAAGGTATTAAATATTTGCTTGGGGCTGGTAATTAATTGGGTTGTAGACATCTTTCAACGTTGTAATTCACAAATGGCAACGGGAGCAATTGTAACCAATACTGTTCCTGATAGTGAACCAAGTCTACGCTTCAGTATGTAAAACAGTCATCAGATAACGTGTCGCCGAGAATTGCAGCAATAGATGAACAAACAAAAATCTTGCGCCATCCAATCTCAAGCTCTATTCCAGCATCGAGTTTGCAAAGCTGGTGTAAACTCTCAAAAATGTCTGCCAAATTTGCTCCAAAGGGGCCGAGTGTAAGCGGCAGCAAGCTCCTTCGTTTGGGGCGATGCTCTTTGCCAACGTATTGTGGTATAAGATATATCCCTTCAATGGCACGATACATATTTCAGTATAGGCCAAATGCATCGGCAAATAAAAACATTGGCAATGATATCATGTCCGTATTTGTAAACTTGTCCTGAAGGTAGTCTCTTTTTTTCTGCCAGCTTGACATTTTCAGCACTCCCATCACTCCCATCATCATGCATTTCACTTGTCTGCTGATTCAAGTTGCGCCATCGGTCCGCCAATCATCACCCAACACACATGCAACCTTCAAAGAGAATTGAAGTCCTCAAGTCAAAATAAATAGTTGCAAACGCTTCTCACACCATGTAAAAAGTTCATCGACGATAAAGAAAGCGGTCTAAGAGACGGACGAGAGAAACTGCTGCGCGACGAGTAGTATCGCGCGACTTGGCCGACCCAAGAAAAGGCACTTCCATCGCATTCAGGGGCAAACACAAACACCCCCACAAGCTCATCCATACGAAGGGTCTTTGACTTTCTGGCCTGGCTACTAGGTACCTGGTGTTTTATAGCTCTGGGCTGTTGGCATTGCTCGCCTGTCACTGGAATCTTCTAGGCCGCCTGTCTGGTATCTCCGAGCCGCTTGCGTTGCTTGCTTGTTGCTGTAGTTTTATCTTCTGGCTCACCTATTTTATTGCATTAGCAGTGCGAACTGCAATGGGATAGAAGTGAATAAGGGTGCCTTTATTCGATGTAATTCCCACGAAGATGATGATGCCCTGATCTTACACCCTATTGAAAACAAAAAATGACGTTTCCCGTAATCTGATATCCCTTGTTTAAAACCAGTAATAACCCCATTTCCTTGAGTACCCTTTGTTAAAGCCAGATATCAGCAACCATGACCTTGTTCAGTGGACGAAGATTGACAACTTTGCGTCCATTTTATAGGCAATTTATTGTTCGCATGATCAGCACCGCCCTGATGCAGCAGACATATACGTGCAAACCGCGTTTACCAAAACTGTACCGCCGACAATCCACTGGATGCGAAATGTTTCGACTCAATGAGCAATCGATAAATCCGCAGCAATTCTTGCTGCCCGAGGAATATCTCGTCTATCCTTGGTCCAACCTCAGGTAGTCTTAGTCGCTGACTGCCATCAATTTCGTTGTGTGGCGTCGGTCGTAATGGTGCTTCATTGTGATTGCTGCAATCGCCAGCACGTCGTGTACTGCCATCTGGCTTTCGGTTTGTCTAGCAGGTCTCGTGGCCTTCCTGAGAGGATGCCAATCGTATTGTTCGGTGTGAATGCCTTGACCATTTCGTTCGGCGACAGGTTTGTAGATGCGGATTTTGTCTTGTTAGTGCGCCGTGGAATGGAGGAGCGTGGTTCCGAGCAGTATTCCCCCATTCGTCCAAATCCCGTCCAATCGCAGTCTAAACCTCGTCCATCTCTCCGTCCACCTCTCAGACACAGTCACAGTAAAAAGGAAAACATTTCACAGGTCGATTTTTGATCCATATGGTCAAACCTGAAATCTCAATCCATTCTCGAAACCGAAGTAAAAATAAACCGAAATGGAAAACCAAACACAAAATCAGGCCCAAAAAAAAACTCTAACAAACAGAACAAAAAGCCACCTTGGTATCTTTTTCCCTTAAACGCCTTCCCCCCCTTTTCCCCCCCTCCTTCCCAAACTCCAAGCAAATACAAAACAGGAAAAAAAAAAAAATTTGTCTCCCGCTTCCTCCTTGGCTGGAGCTGATAGGAGCCCGAAGGCTCAACCACCGTTTCCAAACACTCAGCCGGTACTGAAAAGGGAGCCCGAAGGCTCAACCTTCCGTTCCCAGGCTTTGTGTTTGGTGCTCGGATGGGAATCTTGCGACTCGACCATCCCATCCATTCCCATGACCGGCAAGAGAGATGACAGAAACTCTTGCGAGCTCAACCGTCACCTCTCAAGCGCTTCCCCGAGGCCAAAAGCAACGGGAGCCTTGCGGCTCAACCATTACTTCCGGCTCCGGGTCGACGCCCGGGTCGCCCGCTTCGGAGCGGGTGTCCCGTTACCGGCCATGCCCAGGCCGGCAGCGAGCCGTGAGGTTCGCTGCCGAGCAGTCGCTGCCGAGACCTTCGGCGCGGGCTTGCTGACGCGGTTTGCGCCAGAGGGCCTCGCCGCCGTGGTCTTGGAACCGGCAGTTCCTGCGGGCCTGCCTCGCTTGGGCTTGGCCGCCTGGGGCTTCGCTTCCTCCTCTTGGAAGTCGGCCAGGGGCTCCTTCCAGACCACGCTTTTGCCGCGGCGAGTCCTGGGGACCGCTGCGGCGCCGGCGGGTTGGTCGGATCCCTGGGCGCCGACGACCTCCTCTGGTTCTCCTGCTGCCTCGGCCTGCCGGGCAAGCACCTGAGCAGGGTACTCGGCCTTCCCCTTGTTACGGCGGGTGTTGGCGCGAGTTTGGTGGACAACGTCCACCGTCCCCTGCTCGGTGCGTCGCGGACGTCCAACAGGACGTCCTACCCGGACAGGTGCCGCCGGACCAGAAGGCTTCGGGATAGCACTTCTGGCCCTTAGGCGAGTCGATCGGCGGGAGGAAGAATCAGAGGCGGGAGGGGCAGGGATTGGGGCAGCTGGAGGAGCAGCGGCCGCCAAAAGGGGATCCTCGTCACCCGAGTCCGCGTGAGCAGCTGCGGCAGCAGGCTTCGGCGGTGTGGATCGGGTTCGGCGGATCTTCTTTGCGGCAGGCTCAGCTGCAGCTTCGTTCTCACCGCCTTCGCTGCTCTCAAACTTGCGCTTCTCTGGCTGCTGAGTTTCCATATTAGGGCTTCTCGCACCAAGAGGTTGTCGCGGGGTCTGCGCGATAGGAGAGCCGAGCGCCGTTGTCGAAGGCCGCCTGTGCTTTGAGCGCCGGATAAAGTCTCGCATGTAGTCGCGCTCTGGTGAATCGGCACGGGTGGTGGCGGATGAGGGCGCGGGCTGTGACTTTTCGCCTTCCTTCTCGGCGTTGGCTGTGAGAGCTAGCTTGCGATTGACGGCCTTGAAGGAGATGGTAGAGCCGTCCGAGTTGAACATGGCCATATTCTGGATGGGCGTCTTTGGTGTATTGGCAGGCGACGGGTCCGCGAGACCAGGAATCGTAGTATTGCCCTCAAGCTCGTAGGAGACGTCAGGGAAAGTGATGCTGACATCGTTTTCGTCCTGTGGCAGTGGCGAGGGTGAGCTGGTAGGAAGCCTGTCATAGGCAGGAGAGGTAGCGCTCTGCGGAGCAGGCGAGCTTGATGGCAGTCGGTCGTAAGCGGGCGAAGTGGTGCTCTGTCCCTTGACGGGGGAGCTGCCAAAGTCGGAAACAAGGAGGGTCTTGTCATGTACAGTGCGCTTGTCAACGTAGAGTTCTTCTTCCAGCTCCCACATCTCGTCCTCTGTGAGTCGAGGTTCCGGAGAAGAGTGATGAGCCTGGACTTGTGGCGATTTCGAAGTAGAGGGAGCGTTCGAGGGAGCGTTCGAGGAGTGAGGCTCGTCTGCACCCTGGCTTTCGGGGAAGAGGTGGGAATATTCAAACGGCAGCTTAAACCGAACAAAAAGTCTTCCGCGCTCTTTGGCGACCACGACCTTAGCGTGGCCATTGCATTGAGTCTCTGCCATCTTGGCCAGTCGTTCGACTGCGGTTTGCTCATTATCAGGCTTGAACACATCGTCGGCGTCAAGGGGGCTGCCGGTGGCTCTCATGATGGCCTTCATCCTCTCCTTGTATTGGGTGAGAATATCCATGGTCTCGTTGGCTTGTTCACTTGTATCTTGAGATGACACGTTGAGTGCGTTGGCTAGAGTTGCAGGAAGATTGGTAGATTCAGGCACGTTGGCTGAAGGCGATGCGAAGGAGCTGATGCTTGCAGAAATGTTGGAGATGTCAAAAGTGCGGGGAATTTCTTCAAGGTGGGAGAAATGTTCAGAGGTAGGTATAACCCCGCTCGCGGTCTGAGATTTCTGAGGTGAAAGTGAGATTCGTCGTGAGGCCCGAGTTTTGAGCAAATTTCTGAACAGCGGCTCACTTTTGCGTCGCCTGATGATTCTAGTGCGTTCACTTTCAGTAGCACTCTCAGGGCTGTTCATCCAGGACACGGAACCGGTGAATGAGGGAGAAGCGGGTCCAAAGTCGATATTGCTGAGATCGCAACTTTCGAATGCGGAGGCTGAATCAGTGTGCTGCATCCACGCGGGAAGAGACTTGACTAGTTCCAACTCGTTATCGGGTTCTTGCGTAGCTACCGTAGAAGATGGTTTTCTGCTAGGCGTAGAAGGCTGGAAGCCGTGCCACTTGGAAGGGGTAGGTTCGCGGGGGCGTATATGGCGAGTAGGAGATTCCGGCGCTATAGAGCTGACAGGAGAGTATTCGTTGCGAGAGGGAGATGGGAACTCTGGTGAGAGACGAGTGACGGGCTCTGACTTGCGCTTTGGTCGCCAACGCGCAAAAGGCGACTCTTTGGAGATTCTGCCGGACCACTGAATCAGGCCAGGGGTTGAGTTTGAAGATAGTGGCGATCTTGTAGTATTGGGGCTTCTGACAATGATGGAACCTCTTCTCTCGCGATCATCTCTTTTTGCTGTCGGGGGACTAGCTGGCTTGATGGGAGAAGGCTCAGCACGAGGGCTAGAAGCGGGCAGCAGCTTGACAAGTGTGTCGCTGAGTCTCTTTCGGAAGCTCTTGTTGCTCTTTGTCGGACTCGGTGACTGGGTAGATCTCTTTGTAGGCGACTTGGCGTCGGACTTGGATTCGTTTGGCTCCAAGGCCAGAGGGCTCGATGGCTCAGTGACGTCTGCAATATCTGACAGATCTGATGCACCGCTAGCGGCGAGGGAGGTTCGTGGGTTACGAATCGATTGGAAGTTGGCTGCGACCTCTGTGATAGATGCCATGCTGACGTCGATCTCTGTGACGCCGGTCTGGAGAGCTTTGGAGATGATGGGATCGAGCTCGCTGAAAATGGCAATTCTATTGCCGCCGCTGGCGTAGTCGAAGTCGATGGAGGAGTAATCGCGGAAGCGGCGCTTCAGAGGAACAGTAGCTTTAGAGAATGTGCTCTGCTTGGCCAGGAGTTTCTGTTCTGATAGATCGGTGGGCTCTTCGTGAAGGAAGCAGTTTGCGACGCTGACTGTAGCAACAGTAAGCCAATGCTCAAGGTGAATCATGAAATCAACATTACGAAAAGGAAAAAAACATACCCTTGGCGCGAACCATTAAGCCCACGACTTCTGCTCGAGACAGAGGTGATCCTTTCAGTTTCAGCTCGGCCTCATGCGCTGGCGGCGCAAATGAGTTGAGTCTGCGGCGGCTCGCCCTCTGTGTCTCTTCTGGGTCCTCGGCAGCTTCGACGGCAACGGCGATTTGAGGCCTCACTGCCCGAGCGTCCGCTGATCGTCCAACTCGCTTCATGATCGTTCTGCCTCTGTGGATAGTCAAAGGGCCGGCCACAGCGGGGACGCGGCACCAGGCGCGGGAGATTGTCGCTGGTCTTTGGGCGACGAAGTTGTCTGCCCACGAACTAAATGCCGACAAGACAATCTATGTCAGCACCCATCACCATCGCCAATGCCGAGCAACTCCATGGAGTTCAAAGGTACGCACGTCTCGAGGATACTCGTCTTGGCCTCGCTGGCCGCAGGGAAGAAGGTCACAAACGATGCTGGATGAGGATTGCTGCCACGCGCCCAGTTAGCCCGCCATCTCCAACATTCCGCCCCGCGAGATCCTGTCGCAGCAGAAGTCTTACATCGCAGCGGGTTCGCACCCGTGAGCCCATGGTGGGCTGGTGATATCGTCCATGGCTGCCAGGTATAGCTTGCGGCGATGTCAAATTGACGGAAAAGCTGGCGATGTCGATTTAAAAACGAAGAAACGGCACTGAAAGCCTAAGATTGAAATAACTTGAAGTTACAAAGATACGTACTCATTCGGTGAATTGTCACCCCACGTGAAGACGCGTTGAGTGAAAAAAGGTTGCAAGGGTGAATAAATGAACAAAAAAAAAAGGGCGTCGCGTTTCTGAAATGCGTGCGTGCGCGATGCCCAAATTTCATTTCTTGAACTGCAAACGGATCGTTTGTTTACATTGAGCCCCAATAGGAAATCCGCTAGTATATGCTAGTCTTAATAGGGTAGTTAATTGTGTGTGGGGTAGATTTAGAGTTAATTGCCCCGCCAGTAGCGACAGACGCGTTTGGCGGGCAGAAACTGGCTTCGAGGCACTGTAAAATACAGTGAATGTCTGCTATAAGAAGAAAAAGAAAAGGAAAAAAGAAAAGAGAGAGAATCGAAAAGATAAATTGATTGTGAATAAATTATTCAATTCACAGTAGTCTTTACGATAACTTGACTTCTATTCTATGAGTGACATTTAAAGCTTGTAAATTAGCATAGCGCCAGCGCCACATCGGCTGTTTCTATTTATATTCAGATCTTCACAGTTATCTAATCGTAAATCTCGCTTTAAAGCGTCTCAAATACACCATTAATTCAGCTTCGTGAAGTCTCGAGTAGTATTGTGTTGGAAAAGTTTGATTGCACACTTCGCGTTCTATTTTTTGAAGCATTTAACAATAGCTACTTGCAAAGACGAAAAGGGCTGTTTAAAGTTGGTCGATATATCTCCCTTGCTTAATTCGCCTATTTCCTCTTGCACGCATTTGTTTCGTCCTCTTTCTTTTCTGTTAGGCTAGTGCTTTTTGTCATCAACTCAATCTCAATGCTCGATAATCCACCTTGCTTTCGCTGCCGACTCTATGTTTCTCAGCCAGCTTTACTAGGATTTCCTAGCAAATGATAATTTTCAATCTTCAAAGAGCTGCTGCATAACACGGCACGGAACTACAGTGACGAATAGATCGTGAATCACGTTACAAGTACTTTGCAAACGTCAATAGGTATAATAAAGACGAGTCTGGTATGCTCATTGCGTGCATATAGAGTGATCTACTGTAAACATTTATGGATGGATTTGATGTAATTTATGGCGGGGTAGTACGCTGTTTTACAGTAGTGGTTGGGATTTTTCAGCGGCTGGTGTGCTCCCTGGGCAGCACGTACATGTACATGTAACCTACATGCATGCAGCGTATGCGCTGTATTGTGCTCAATAACGACATGCATGATTCATCTTTGGCTCACTTAATACCGAGATGTTTCACATGATGCTATGGCAGTAATCAGAGGCAAATGATGCGTTTAGAGATTTGTATTCTATATACACGATTGGGCAAGCCAGCAGAGAGATGGAATATGTGGCTCACAGCAGAGTATGAGATTGGGGTCAATGCCACATACTGCCAAAATTGCAATTATCTAATCGTAAAAACTAGATCAAAAGAGCAATCAAGTGCCTGGAAATGCCAGTAAATGGCAAGGCGGATGACAGGCGTTAGAAGAGGAAGTAGAAACGCAGATCTGAATCAATAGTATAATGGATTAGACACATAAGTACTCTATGATTCTTACCAATAATCCACTTCCTTCTCTATTCTTCAAAAGTCTCGTATTGAACACAGTACTCTTCAACACCAAGAGCGAACGGAGTAGACCTGCGAGGGCTTAAAATGACAGTACCTGACATTTATCTGATTTCATCGCAGAAAGAAATCATCTCATCTTTAACAGGTGAACGATATATGACGGTGCTTGATGCCTCAGCCTTTTCCCCATGAGTTACCGGTCTTCCTCTAGCTTCTTGACCATCTCCGAAAGTCTCCCATCCTTAACCGAAGAGATTGCGGCCCGCATGGTGTTGCCCAGCGATGAGGACGTTTTATAATGACATTGGTTACTGGCTAGCTGTTTTTTTATAGATGTTCCGCTCCTCGACATATTATCCATGGAGGTATTGCTACATCTGGGTGCTCAGATTGCATCCAGCGTGTGTACTGGGTGAATGTTCCAAAATCCGTGATACCCGCTCAAAGCATTCACAGTGGTGAGCAAAAGAAGCTGCTGCGTCAATTGAGGCTACTTAATATGAACGAAGCCACATAGTCCAAGGCGATGGCGGGAGGTGGCTTCTGTTTGGCAGGTTATCGCTGTTGGCGTTTGCTAATGGGCATATCAGCAGTCTCGTGATAAAAACTTGGATCAAATGATTAGCTTCAGGCAATTGGTAGTGGTCACAGAGATAATCAACTAATTTACACCGAAGATAGGGATGCTCATTCATCTTAGCACCTTATCCATCTAAAATACTCGGAGCTCGTTCGTCTGCTCGCTCTCTTAAAAGGTTCATTGTTACTATGCTATTCCTACGGTACATAAACCAAATATATCCGGAATTCATTTGAGCTTCCGATCATATCTCCATTATACCGCCATGCAGGCTGTAAAAGGTACTCTTTGTTTCTACCTTTTCAACCATCTTCCTTGTTACCCTGTATGCTGTAAGTCCTCTGCTGACTCATCATCATTTCCAGGCACAGCCTTGCAGGCAGCCAGTGGACCGTCTCCAATCCTGCCCCTCCACCACCACCCAGAGCCTCGTCACCACGGAACGTCATCCCGCAACAGCATCATCTCGACATCCAATCGAATCCTCAGCCTCGCCCAGTTACAGCGCTCTCTTCCATCCACTTCCCATCTCCAACTACTTCCTTCCCCATACAAAAAGAAATAAAGAAAAAGACACAGACGGAACACCAACCGCAGCCATGAATCGCCTCTTCGGCTCCAAGCCCACCGGCCCCAAACCAACCCTCAACGGCGCAATCTCCAACATCGACACCCGCATCGCCTCCATCGACACCAAACTCAAAGCCCTCAACGGCGAACTCTCCGCCTACCAAGACAAGCTCTCCAAAATGCGCGACGGCCCGGGCAAACAAGCCATCAAGCAAAAGGCCCTCAAAGTCCTCCAGCGCCGCAAAGCCTACGAGGCCGAAAAGGACAAACTCGAAAGCCAAGTCTGGAACATGGAACAAGCGCAAACCATGCAGGACAACCTCAAGAACGTCATGACCCAGGTCGACGCCATGAAGACCACCAACAAAGAGCTGCGCAAGCAGTATGGCAAGATTGACATTGACAAGATTGAGCGCCTGCAGGACGACATGGCCGATCTGCTCGACGTGGGCAATGAGATCCAGGAGAGCCTTGCGAGGGGCTATGATATACCCGACGAGGTGGATGAGGCGGAGCTGGATGCCGAGCTGGAGGCGTTGGGCATGGAGGCCGAGCTGGAGCAGGAGTATGGGAGCGGCGCGGTGCCGGGCTTTTTGACGGATGAGGTTGTGCCGGAGTTTGTGGATGAGCCGCCGCAGACGGAGGAGAAGGTGAAGCAGGCTGCGGGTTGATTTGTGCGTCTGTGTATATATATACATGTACTTGGCTTATACTCATCGAAACGACGGGATGATTTGCGGCTTTTTATTTTACCAGTTCAAGAAAGAAAGGTTGGCACACCATTTAGGCGCAGAATTACTTTCAATCTTGCTACATTATAATACCATTTGTACTTCTTTTCTATGTTTCAAGTTCCGACGTGATAATATAAGGAAAAAACAGAAGCGAGAGAAAAGAGCGTTCATCAATTTCATAATGTCCTCCTAGGCGCAAACCCAGAGAAAAACAAAGGTGCATGCTAATCTAATGCCATCTACATATATTTTTCTTCTTCTTATCTTTTCTTTCCTTTACCCAAATAATTCCCCCCTTAAGAAAAGAGCGTCAAGTTTTTTCGTACGTTGAATAGTTTATTACAAAACAAGTGCCGTTAACCTCAGGCAAAAGAGTCGCTCGTGAGATAACACGGGGTTATAGTATGCATGTACATGTACATATAACACGACGACATGTTACATACTCCGGACGAATTTGGTTGACAATTGAACGCCGGGAATGCAGAGTACCTAGTTCCAGTAATTCCATCGCTATCAAACAAAAGGAAATAAGCTTCCAAGATTACTATGCCGAATGCTGTTCCCCTCTTTCTTCAAACTCCCTCCTGTATATTCCTCGCTTGGGAAGAAGCGTAGGGATATATAAAGTGTCTCGTTACAGAAGAGCTTTGTGCCTGGTTTCATCAAAGACTCCCCCCTCCATACATAAACTTTGCTTCAATCAGTCAATCGCCGCGAAGAAGCGAGCCACCTCTTCCAACTCAGGATCCCCATTGCAAAAGTCCCAGCCTACAATGACTGGAGCCTGGCTACAGCATATGATCTTGCGGGCATCGAACTGAAGCTTAAAGACGCGCGCCGGAGGATTCTCCGCCGCCGCAATGCGTGGGCGTGACTCAGGAGGTTGTGCGTTGTTTTCGGCTTCAGTCGGTCCTTGCTGCCCATGGACTTGTCCAGGAATCTCAGGCTGTTGGACCATTGGAGGGAGTTGGGGCGGAGGTCCCTGGCCGGGGGTCACAGAAAGTTGAGATGGGTGAGGCACCGGTGCGTGGAGCGGCGTAGGGGCTGGGACTTGTGGTACCATTGCTGGCGAATATGCCAGCTGTCTATATTCAGTGTTGCCGCCAGCGGCGTTGTTGTTGCTGCTGCCACCAATGCCATCGCCTGCTACAAGCGCGGCGGTAGATGGGCCCGCCATTGATCCGCCAGCATAGGGAGAAGCCAAGTTGAAGGCTCTTGCATCTGTGGCAGCGTTAGGGCCCGGTATGTGGGAGTTGCCGCGAGAAATGAGCCGCTGTCTGGCCATCTGGTTGTTTTGTATCGCAATCAAGCCGTCTGCCACCGCTCGTCGGAGATGTGCCCGCACAAAGGGAGAAGGCTCTCGCTCAATCGCGGCTTGTAGGTAGCCAAAATAGATGAGCATGGATGGGTGGCTTGCCAGTGCCTGCCTCAGCGCTGCAACCCCAAAGGGGACCGTCTGGTCAATCATGGCCATGTAAAGCCGTGCCGACTGGCTGTTCTCGCTGTTTGGATCCAGTATAGGCGAAGACTGCATGCCCTGCGGCGCACCAGGACTCACTGCCGACACGGCAATGGCCGCCGAAGCAAATTGAGTGCTCTGTCGCTGAACGTTGGTCAGGGCGACTTGTCTATGCGCCGCCTCTGCAGCTTCTTCCTGGCGAAGATGATGCCCGGGCTTCCACACGCCCTCCTTATCCCGCCGCCAGATGATGATGCTTTGGTCATATGAGCCCGAAACGATTCGCCCGTACTTGCGTCCGCCTCCTCCGCCAGGCGGAACTTTGGCGCCAGTAGCCTGGAGATCAGCCGGTCGGGAGCTTCCCGCATTCACTCTTCTAGTGCGACGGATTCTTCGGTCACCCTCGTGGTCAATCTCTCCCGCTTCTACAGCCCTAAAGTACTCGGCATCTACTCTCTTGGCCTCGGCCTCGTCCTCCTGCTTGCTGTAGGGCAAGTCGCCGAAGCCGGCCTGGACGGTTCGCACCAGATGGGCATGGCCGCGAAGGGAGGCCACTTTCAGGCCCGTCAGCGCGTCGAAAATGCAGACTTCGTAGTCACTACTACCGCTCACAATCCGGCGTTCATCAAACTCGACGCAGGCAATGCCCTTTTCATGCGCCGGAATGGTCTGCGTGCAAACCTGCTCTGGCCAGTTCCACACCTTGATATGGCGATCGCCAGAGACAGAAACAATGGTGCGGCCCCGGATCTGAATGGCGTTGACGGCGGCACCATGCCCCTCCAGCTTGCCAATCACCGTGAAGGCGGGCTTGATGGGAAGTTCCTGGGATAGATCGAGCTCGTAGCCATAGGGTTTGACACTGATGCCCACCGGGTTGACGGCTGCATCTACAGGGCCATAGCCCAAGTCGCCGTACTTGAGGGGGCGACGGTTGAAAATCTTGATGGTTTTATCTTTGGAAGATGTAACAAGAACGTGTTTATCGAACCGCACGTTAAGAACAGACTCGCGGTGTGCGTTGGTAATCTTTTGTACAAGCTCTCCAGTGGAAAACCTCCAGATAAAGATGTTGGAGTCGCTGCTACCGGAGACCAAGATGTCTTCGGCCGGGTCTGCGTCGAACTGAAGGCACAAGACCGAACCGTGGTGGCCTGTAAGCGGTGGACGAACCAGGCGGCGGGTGTGTATGTTCCAAATTCTCATTGTGCGATCTCGGCTACCGCTGACAAGATAGTTTGCGTCAAACTGCAGAGTGTAGACGCACTCCTGATGGCCTTCATCGGGAAAGTCGGGGTGAGGCAGTACAAAAGTCTTGAATTTGCCCAGCTCCCAGTTCGACTCAAGTCGTCGCCTCATGTTATAGAGATACTTCCAGTTGATGCGATAGCGGGAGCTGTTGATATCCCACGTCCATAGGGTCGATTTGATCATGCTCGCGGTGGTGTCGCCGGCCGCCATTGCAGGCAGCGGAATCTCGGGGGTGCCACCGGGCTCTTTGCGCTTGGCCCTGCTTTCCGACGACGACGATCCATAGCTCCGGTCCACAGCCTTACCTTTGGCGGACGAGAAGCTGTCGAGATACATATCCCCCAAGGAGGGGAGCGTTTGCTTAAAAGACTGCAGCGCGCTGGGAGATCCAAAGAGGCTGGCCCCGGCGCTGCTCTCCTGGATGCTGGGCAGCCTATCGCGGTCCAGCATCTCCAAATCTTGGTCCTCGTCTTCGTCGTGGTTGAGGATGGCTCGAATCTTGGTTGGGTGGTCGTCTGACGTCTGCATGCGGTGCAAGTGGCCGATGGAATTGCTCACGCCCGTATTGACCCGAATCTCCCACGCATCGATCTCGGCCTGCACGGCCTTCCAGCCTTCGAGATAGTACAGCCGCTCCCATAGCTTGCGGTCCACGGCCAGGTCATACCAGGCGCGGCACGTCTGCAGCACGCTGACGAGAGAGACGGGATCGAGATAGCCCAGGATCTTGAGGCAGATTTCGGCGGGGAGATGTCGGATAAAGTCGATGTAGAGTCTCGGGCTGAGACGCTCGACGATCTCGACGATGGCGGAGGTTGGGAGCTGGTCCAAGAGAGCCATGGCCAGTTCTGCGACGAGGGGGCTCAGCGACACGGTCACGGCATGCAAATATTGGTGGTGGGGACTCACTTGACTTGACTGACACGGGCAGCTGCGAAGCATTTGCAGCCATCCACTGCGGCAGCTCCAAGGGCGATTTGAGCGAGGCCAGCGACGAGAGCTGCTCAGTCAGCCCCGGACCCAAAGGATCCTCAGAGTAGCCCTCGTCGGGCTGGTGGGCGGGCGAAAACGGGCCCATGGAAGGCGGCAGGTTGTCTGGTCGCGACATGTTTGCGGCTCAGTCCAGCCTCGCGCCCAGCGGTGCTCTCTCGGTGGGTGAGTGAGGCTATCACAGGCCGGGCTCTGCCTTGTTGGTTCCGAAGGATTGCGATTGCGAAGCCAGACAGCCGCGCCAACTTCCCATGTCGTATCGGGCTCCAGCTAGCGTTGCCCGGGGGGGTCCGTGGGGATTGCCAATAGCAGGGCGGGCTGAGTCTGAGGGTGTAAGTGGCAAACAAAACAACAGGCAAGCAAACGGGATCAATTGGATGCTGTGAGGATCAGGCGGCCGCTGCAGCCTGGAGGTTTGCTCGTGGTAGTGGCTGGGCAGCTCGGCGCGGCGTTACAGCGCGGTTCCGGCGGGGGATGGCGCTGTCTCTGCCTTTCAATCGAGCTGCCAGGCTTCAGCCGGCGAAACCCAGCGCTGTGGAAAGCGCCGCAGCGCCGTTTTGGGAGGCGGGGGGTCTACGGGCGCGGTACTAGACGCTGCGTGCGAGCTGCAGTGCGGGCGGCCTGTACTGAACAGGTAGCGCAGCTGTCTGGCGGCCAGGTTGCGATCTGCCTGTCTGCTACCCCAAAGCGGCTGCTGGGGGCCCCTTATGTTACTGAAGGTTATAAAGGCGTTGCTCTGCTGTCTGGAATTGACTTCACATTTTACTAAGCGGCTGTATATGATAGCGAGATTCCGCAGCCGTGAGACTGACGATGGCTCATGTCATTTCGCTGGCTCTAACTTGATAACTCTGGGCCGCCTTTATGAAGTGCAAGGAGATGGATGCTATGGGCGATGGCAGGTGCCAGAAGCGCCATTCAATGCATGGAAACGTGGTGGCGTGGATTCATCAACTCTAAGATAGAACAAACGATTGAATCCTGTGGATATTGTATTCATTCAATGTTGTTTGCACGTGTATTGCTACTGGTATCCATCCACGTTAGTAGCCCACCATATCTCGGCTCCTCTGCTGTTCCCAAGCAACACCACGGATATCTGCCGAAAGCGTTCTCCACAGCTAACCGTGCAGTCAATTCATGCTGCTCCGAATAGATTAGACTCCACGCGTCCTTTTTATAGGCATGCAGCTAGTTGCTCGTAGTTAATCTACATGTACGTATACGCAGCTTCACTAGTATAGGTAGACTTATACCGAGAAACTATTCGGGATTCAAAGATGAGTGCCGGCCAAATCGCATATCACACGGTTTGGCATTATTGCAGCTGCATGTAGCACTTATGCTCTTTTTAGTGTTACACGCTTTCCTGATAACCTTGATTCCAAGCCTGGATACGAGATGGGGCAGACCAGACACGCACATATTGCTGCAACACACTTTTCATTCATACTTAGGTACAAGTAGTCTAAGTCTAGGTTACCCAAATAGGTACCTACTCAGACCAAGGACCTGATACTCAGACGCAGACAAATCCAGTTCGATGCTGTAGCCAGTAGTGTCTGGTGTGTGTTCTCCGTACCTATATACCTATCAGCATCCCGCCCATTGGTTTGGCTGCACCGAATATCTCAGATTAGATGCCTTTTCGCTGGACCCAATCCTGCAGACGGGTCGCATCGACGGCCTCGGTCCCAGACCTTGGGCGCAGCTCAGCCCTACCATACGGGTGGTCTCTTTTCGCGTCTCAACTCCACCTCCGATTCAGCTCTTCACCGGGGTTGATCAACCGTGTTGGCGACATGATTATTGCTCGGCTGCAGTGCCTAGAGATAGGTATCAATAAATTTGCCATCGACTGACGTCAGTGGTCTTTCAGCTTGAGCACGAGTCGAGATGGGCGAGAAATAGAGTGGCTGGTATAACACCCGATATTGGTGCCAGTGCTGCATGTAGGTACTTACAGCATGCGGTGAAGAGGCCCGTATCGCGTCTTTGGCTCTTTCACCGCCGCCTTGGTCGCCTCCTGTTGCCAGACGTAATTCGCATGCAGGCTCCCTGCTGCGAATCCACAAAATAACGGGCAGGTGACCAGAGCAAATCCTCATGGAACCCATAGCAACAGTGCTACTGACATGCACATACTTATCATGCAGCACATGTGGGTATTTGAAGCACGAAATGGTGATACTGGCTGATACTACAAAGTACATGTAGTGTCTGCTATTGGCTGCATGCGGTAGCCGTCCTAATACTATTTACCAAATCCAACGAAAAGGGACATGGAACTTGCAAAGTGCCTGGAAGCTTTCCTTTGTCTGGTCTCCGCATGTGCGACTTGATAGCAGTCTGTTTCTGTGAGTAAACCGCTTTGTTCTATCCATGACCTCTGACTGTGTTTCATGTGGCGGCTCAAGCATAACAATGGAACGTCAAAAAAGAGTAGACGCCCCGAACTTGCTCTGCATTAGGAACAAGGCAAAGGCGACGGCAGTTGCTGGAAAATGACAAGTGACGGGTTCTGCACAGGGGCTAGTATAGTATTTCTCCGAATAAGAGCGGTTGTGTTGGGCTGCAAGTAGGGAGCACTGCAGTATCTCGTCATTTTCCATCTTTGCCAAGCAGACGGTGGCCTCCCAGGAACGATGGATTCCAATTCTTTTCTTGTACGAGTGTAGATAATGTGCTGTACCTAGCAGTTACCTATAGTTGTACGAGTGCTTGTGGCAGTAACCAGGAACTTGTTAGCACTGCGACTGTGCAGCTATTAGTGCAGTCGTATCATGAGATATTGGAATCCGTCCACAAACAAACCCCGGTAGCGCCATGCCTCCCCAGTCCAAAGGCTTTGGCAGTGTTACCTATTTGATTTACTATATTAGCAATGGCCTAGAAACGGATTTAACGACTGGTCGCGAGTGCTTTTCTTGCGAGCCGATGCCTAGATCCTGCCCCCAAATAGTTGTACGTATGACTCTGTATGCGATGATGCAGATGGCCTCGTGGGCAGTGCTGAGACTCGGGCTGCGCAGACACTCGGCCGTACCACAACCTCGCATCGTCTTGTTGGCTCAGCAGCCGCCGGCCGTGCGACTGAAACGGCGAGGAGAGGCATGTGAGCTGGGAACGAAACAAGGTCATAAGTTTGGCGGCAAGAGACGCATGAAGGGCGGGAAGGCCTCAGCCTGGGATAATTCGCAGTCTGGCAGTTTGGTCGTCTGCCATTATCATGATACCCATTTGATGCCTTTCTACAGTTGGGAATATGGGTTCAGGCAGGCTGCATCACCGCAGGCTCTGATTCCAGTGCTGGACTGCCCATCAGCGTTCGCCTTAGCCCGCCCAGGCCTAGCGCCGCGCCTGTGAAACATGCAGCGACTGGGCCACATGTCCCAGCTCGGCCTAAGGGACGCCAGCGCCTGTACTAGTACCGCGGCCGTGGGCACTAGTCGCAGGCCGCGCGAGTCTCCGATACTTGCGCTGCGCAGCGGCGGCGCCTTGCTGCCACGGTGGCAACTGGCGCTGGGCTAGACACAATGGCAGATGGCTTTGATGCCACGGGGGAAGAGACAAAGGGGAAGAATAGCAGCCACAGCGAGGAAGGCCGTGGCGCGCAGGGACTGGCAAAATGGAACATTCAGGAAAAAGAAGTTGAGAGCAAAAAAGGGTCGCCGAAGCGCCCCCTCTGCAGCCCCCCCAGTTGAGCCCCCTGAAATCGAGCCCGGCGCGCTAAACCGCCCCAATCGTCCCAATTAGCAGCCCCCAGAGCCTGTAGATCAACTGATGCCTGCCCACCAACCCGCCCTTGTGGTGTCTGGCTGTGGCGCCTGCGGGCTTCGGTACCTCGCGCCGAGTATCTGCCCACCGCCGCGCGCCTGCACAGGTACCGCCGCCGCCCGTACTGCCGTTAGCACGCCGTCTCGCTGCTGCGTTCCTCTCCTCCACTCGTCTGTGTGTCGGCAGCCTCTCTTCTTTTCCTTCTGTGCCCATTCCTGGCTCCCCCCTTTACTTGTACGCCTCCTGATCCTGCCTCTGCCCTGCCGCAGCCTCAGCGGTTCTGGATCTCTTTGACAGCGAGTCCCCGCACACCGACTGGCATCCGTACACACCTAATATCCGACCGGCAGATCGCAAAAGAAGCGTTGCGCGGGCATCGCTGGAGTCTGTTCGACGCCGCTTCGAGCCTTGACACTGCCCATCACTGCTGCTGCAACGACAAGTAGAGCAGTAGCACCTAATAGCAGTCGCTTTTCCAAAACAAGACACCAGATTAGTCGACAGAGACAAGAGTATACGATCGTTTGTTTGACGACCCGTCACGTACACAGTAGATCCAACAGACAGAAAGAAGATAGACACCACAATTAGACGCAGAGCCGCAGAAAGCAATATAGAGAGAGACTTAGAAAGCGAAAGCGATATAGACAACGAGCGTCTGTCAGCGAGACACTTCCACACCCGATTGATACGCAGCATCGACGAGCGTATCCTCGCTGCCGCCGACTCTCTTCGCCGAAAGAAAGCCTCGTCGAGCCCCCCCTTCAGCGCCAGACTCGCTCCGCCTGCCTGCTCTGCCCGTGGCACTCGGCTCGTGAGGCTGTCCAACAACCCATTGACGCTGACCTTTCGCGTTAAATGACGTGAATCCGTGCTCTTTAGGGATCCGCAACCCACGGACTGGTCTTCCGCGAGAAACTCGTTCGCTAAACCCCCGCCTTGGGCTCGAGCACCACCCCTGTTTTCCTCCTCTTTCTTCCTCAACCCTGACCTCTTCTTCGCTCGACGAAAACCGCCTTTTCATCGACCTCGACCTCAGACGCTGCTGCCAGGACCCAGCCCTGATATCGGGCCCCCGACGGATGGAGTAAAGAGGTCATGGCTCATGCACCCCTGCTCAGAACCAACACGGCCCCGGTCTTCCAGTCTCATCCCAACGGAGCGGGCGGTTTACCACATCAAAGCATGAGCAGCAGTGCGCCGCGCACTAGCCAGCTGTCTGGATCAACCGCCTATGCTGGATCTTCAACGTCGCTCACCTCACTCAACAGCGACATGACCGTGGTTGCCAATGGCCCGGTGGTGGCCACCAGCAACATCATCAACCAAAAGGCCGACGCCTCTCGCTCCCTCTACCAGATATGCATCTCCCTCAAGCAGCGCCTGGCCCAGGTGCCCGGCTTCGAGCAGTTTCTGCAGCACCTCGACCCGACCGACCCAGTCGATCCCCTCTGGAACCTCCTGCGCTCTGGCTATCCGCTGCTGGTAATCTACAACACGTTGCGGCCCGCTGAGCTGCTGACCGTCGACGACCCCAATGCCTCCGACTCCAAAAAGTCCAAGATTGCCATCTTCAAGTTCGTCCAGGCTTGCATGAAGGAGCTCCAGGTGCCTCCGGCCGACTGTTTTGTCATTACGGATTTGATGGGCACTGATACGAGCGGCTTTGTCAAGGCAAGTACTCTATGAATGATCTTCCCGGTTCGTTGGGGGTTGGGGGGGGAGGAAAGAAACGTGCCTCTTCTCTAGCACTAATCCTATTTTGCTGTCGGGTTCTTATTTCAATTGTTAAAAAAACAAATCTAACGCGAGCACCAGGTTACCCAAGTCGTTAACTACGTCCTTGACCTTGCAGAGCGGCGTGGATACCTTCTCCAGCAGGAGGTTTATCCCGATGGCGAGCCTACTGGCACCAACGGCGCCTCTAAAATGACCTATCGAGACCATGTCATCAAAGAACTCGTGGATACCGAGCGCAAATATGTCCAGGACCTGGAAAACTTGCACGATTTGAAGAAGGCATTGGAGCAGAAAGGAGTAATTACCGGCGACATCGTTCACCAAATCTTCCTCAACATCAGCCTGATCCTCGACTTTCAACGCCGCTTTCTCATTCGCATCGAGACCACCAACTCTTTGCCCGCTGACAGCCAGCGATGGGGCCAGCCATTTGTCACCCACGAAGAGTTCTTCAACATCTACCAGCCCTTCATTGCCAACCAGCGCAAGGCGGCGCAAATTGCCAACACAAATTTCGAACTCATCCGCCAATCAGACCACCCCGTCGCAGCCGACTTTAACACTCTGGACGGTTTCCTCCTGAAGCCTATGCAGCGTCTAGTCAAGTATCCACTGCTACTCAAGGTATGTCTTGACAAATTACTCATTTTCTGCCCTGATGATTAAGTCATCTTTCAATTACTGACTGCTGTTTAGGATCTGGCAAAGAAGACAGAAGACCCAGAGACCAAAGACGATCTGCTACAAGGATGTGAGGCTGCTGAGCGCGTTCTCCAGAAAGCAAACGAAGCCGTTAATCGCGACCTTCTCGACGAGGCGCTGGAGGAGCTCATGACCAGAGTCGACGACTGGAAATCGCACAAGATTGAGTCATTTGGAAAGCTGTTATTGCATGGCGTCTATGGTGTCATCACTGGCAAGAGTGAACAAGAGAAGGACGTACGTATATACTGTCTCCCTCCTTCGCGCGACTGCTAATAGAGAGCTAACTATCCCTACAGTATGAGATCTACCTCTTCGAATGCATTTTGCTATGCTGCAAGGAAATCTCGCCGAACAAGAGCAAGGACAAGAAAGAGAGGGCTCGGCTGCAATCACTCCCAAAGCAGAAGAACAGGAGCGCCAAGCTGCAACTCAAGGGCCGAATTTTCATGACCAACGTGACTGATGTCGTGTCTCTTTCCAAGCCAGGCTCTCACAGCGTCCAAATCTGGTGGAAAGGCGATCCTGGTGTCGAAAACTTTACCATCAAGTTCCTAACGGAGGAGATGATGAAGAAATGGGCAAACGGCCTGGAGACGCAACGTAAGGACAATGCGCCTCGCACCGCCACGAGCCCAGACGACAATCCCACCGACTTTGCTTGGACGCGCGACCAGGCCGGCGGCCTTGAAAACCCTTACCTACAGCAAGATGACGACGACGAAGACGACATTGGCCCCGCCACTGCTCCTGCTCAGTTCCCAGTGCCAACAAACTCATTTGGAGGTTCCATGGCCATCCCTAGAACCGCGTCGAGCACCAACCTGAGAGACTTGAGGAAGGGCTCGGTAACCGTGGAGTCGTCGCAGTCTCTGGCTGGCATCGCGCGAGCTCCTCCGCCACGGTTCCCGCTGCCAATGCCGCCAGCGCCCTTGTCCCTCCAGACCCAAAACAGCATGACCGTTCCATCGCCAGGCGCCCGCGGAGGAGACAGCTACTTTTCGCCCATTGGCGAATCACCTGCGTCTTCTCGAACCAGCGCAACCAGTGGAGTATTCTCACCAAATATCAACCCATTCTCAAAAGCCGGGACTCCTCAGGCAGGATGGGATGAGAACAACCGCTATACGGCGCCAGCAATGCCCCGTGCCCCATCTCGAGACGGCACGCCGCCCAGTGCCTACATGAATGGCAGACACAGCGCAAACCCGGCGGCGTCAAGGAGCCGCTCGTACAGCACTCCCGATGCCGCTGCTCAGGGCCAGCGACGCCAACCCAGCCAGAGCAACATCCCCGCTGTCCCCGGCATACCCTTGCATCTCCATCCCGCTCACGACAGCTCCATCCCAAGATCGCAAACAGGCTCTCCAAGGAACGAGGCAGCGGTGCCAGCCAGCCGGACGAGCACGCAGAGCCCCGGCTCCCAGCCTCAGCGGGCACACAAACACAAGCATTCGCACTCGGGCAGCGTTGGCGGCACCATGGCACAGTTCCCTACCCAGCCCGTCTACCCTCGACAGACCACGCCTGGACCTCCCATGAGCAGCAACGGCCTTCGTGTTGACCCTGCAGCGGCCAACTCGCGGACCGTATCACCGTCTCTCGGCACTGCGACCATGTCCCAAGGAATGCTAGCCCATCACGGCATGATACCTTCGGGTATGATGCCTCCGGGATTGGTGCCCCAGATTCCACAGAACAACCCGGTTGCAAGCCCCGAGGTGGCCTTGCCAACGCAACTCAAGGTCCGAGTCACCTGCGATACCGGAAACTATGTTACGCTCGTCGTTGCTTTCAATATCACGTACCAGTCCCTCGTTGATCGGATTGATGCCAAGCTTGCGCGCTTCACTACCAGCAGCATAGCACAAGGATTGCTAAAGCTTCGCTATCAAGATGAAGACGAGGATTTTGTCACCATCGAAAGCGATGACGACATTCAGATTGCCTTTATGGAGTTCCGTGACGGTATGAAGAGCGCGTACAGTGGCGGTGTAGGAGAGATAGAGCTCTTCTGCGTCGGAGACATGGCGACATAATAGCACCGCATCTGGAGCATTTCCTTTAGGAGAGGAGAAAGAAGAAGGCTCTTGTTATAGACGGAAAGAGAGAGAAGTATTTTGAGAAAAAAAGCATACTTATTCCACGGACCACCCAGGAGCATTCGCATGTTTTGGTGTATAGAGCCATTGCATAGCAGCAGCAGCAGCAGCAGAAATCATTTTTTTATTAGAGCGGCACGAAAATTGCCACCATATTCACGACGGTTCAAGGCCAACAACTACCAAAGATACCTCTTAAAACCATATAGACACGACACCACACGATATGTGCGATTATGACCAACCAATTTTACTTTATATGCTATTTATTCTCATCCGATTCCAACTTTGGTCACTCATTCGCACCCGACTATCCATCTTACGTTGCCGACGGCCCGTTGCCATGTTTTTTACTCTTTTCTCCGCAGCCGCGATGCTCCAATCTCTAAATACGGAACGAGACAAGAAAAAAAAAAGGATGCACGAAGCTTACTTCGACGGACATTGGCCCATAACAAATCACTGCTGGACAGTTGGAAAATTCAGTCCAGCGAGAATATGCTGTCTATAGTAGAGGGCGGCCGTCTCAACGATACACTCTTTCTCAACCAGATTTTCCTTATTACTTTTCTTCTTTTCTCCATTACTACCCTGCCAACATTATTACCATTTGGGGATACACTATCTTGAGTCTAAGATATACTTTATCTGAGTGTTCCTTCTACCATTTTTCTACCATCATCTCTCTTTGCACTTTTTTTTTGTTATTCATGGGATTCTATGGCGCTAGTGACAAAGACGGGAGGTTTTTTTAGGAGAACTGAGAAGGGTATTCACTTTTTTTGCCATCTTTGCAATAGTGTTTGTTTTGGGAGGATGATATTTTGTACCCGTTTTGTTTCTTTTTACCCTGCATGCTTTGGCTTTTTTGTGTTTGTTACCATTGCCTCACAATATTTTCTGTTTTTTGCAGCCCCTACTCCCACCATTACTATTATTTTGCCTCTCTCTCTCTCTTACTCCCCCTTTCTCTCTTGTTTTTGTTCGTGTTTTTTGAAATGATGGGTCTTGCTGTTGGATGTTTTCTGTTCCTTTTAGTACTGGATAGATAGAAATCGGGGACGACAAAAGTGCAAACGGAGATGGTGAATACAATAAAAAAATTACAAAAGTTTTCGTGGTTCATTGTGCAGTATTGTGAAAGTCGGCGATAGAAACGCAATGCTGAAAATAAGGGAAATTATTGTAGACTTTTTTTTTCCGTATGTTAGTGTCTGATATTTGTACATTGGATGAAGCGCTCTATGCCACCCTCTCTCATCAATTTGGCATTTTCCCGCTCCTTCCCCTTCTATAACACTCTTTTTATGAATCTCCTTTTCCCTTCCTGGATATGTATGTATGTTGTACATTTTACTTTTGGTGATATCGTCAAAGTGGCAACCAACGCCGAGGAAAATGTATCCTCCATCTGTTGTTCCCCCTCCCATTCTTTCGAACTGTCCATGTTGTCGTCGTTGCGTAATACTTTCGCTACGCAATTTCGCCCTGAATATCAGACCCAATTCTTTTGTTTGTGATAAGCCGTCTCCTCTCCTTACTGTGAATGTTTTTGCATCGCAATCCTTTTGACGTGGTATATATGACCTTCCGATCGAGTTGTCCTTCTTCGTAATCGACAGCGGGAAAAAAAAAATCGTACAAGGGCCATTCCATTTCACTACCCCTCCTCTCGATCATGTTGTCGAAACACTCGCAATGGAAAATCCTTCTCTGCCTTTGTCTTTTATACATCATTTCGTTTCGTCGTCCTTTATTTCTGCTTCTTCGGGCTCGTAACGTATTTCTGCATCCGCGACAAGTGGTAGTTGATTGTATTCGCCGGCGCGGGAGGGGGCGCTGGGCCGTCCATGCATCTTCGGAGCTGGTTCTCGATGGCGGCGCAGCCGGAGGCGTTGAAGCCTGCTGAAGCCCAGCACGCTGTACAGAAGTCAGCCTCCATCGCCACTGTCTTCCTCTACTGCTTTTGTCCTTGAAAATACATACCGAGGACGCTGGACATGATGGCGATACAAGGGTTCTCGGGCTGGCGCTTGGGATTGTGCACCCGCAGCGTTTTCAGCGGGGGGAGACGAATGGCCTTTGCGCTCCCTGACATTGTGACTTTGGGGCCAGAATATTTTTTTTGGTCTTTTTGGTAAGAGAAAAAAAAAGGAGAAGATCCAATTGCGAAGCAAATGCGAGGCCGGGATGTCGCTGTAGTTTTGCGCGGGATGATTTTTTGGCGGGATATTGAGAGAAGCCAATTGGAGCTTGAAGTCACGGGAATGTGCACGTGACTTTTTGAATGATATTGAGAGGCCATTTCGCTGAAGAAGCGCATTTGCTACCATTGTATTGTCCTTATTTGTTTGAGATTAGGTTTATTCCTCTCGATTCATTTCTCATATTCATTTACATGCGTCTTCAATGGATTGGGAGAATAGCAGAGACAAGAGGTGGAAGAACTGCTGCTAGAGCCTTTTCTACTATGGCGACTTACACCTATGAGGCATCCACTTTTCTTCAAATTCCTGATTTACATGGAGGGATTGCCACCTCGCTTTCCTTCATATAGTGCTCAATGTGTTAGAAGTTGCCCAGTGGGCTTCTCTCAGGGACGATGTACATGCAGATTGCGGAAAACGCCCGACCAGTTCCGTTAGATCCGTGCTGCAACTTCAGTGTTGGACTGGAGTTTGCTGATATTGGTAGAATCGTCCGTCATATGATACATGTATCTTCGCCAGCTTCATGGTTTTATTCTGTTACGGACTGAAGCGAAGCCGCTCTCGTATGCCTCGTACACCTTGTCAAAGCACAAGATTCGTTGTGCGGCGTGCCCTGTGAACTTTTCTTTTACTGGGAATACGGATGAGATGGCTTGCGTGTATGTGCGGTGCAGGGCCTGATATACAATTTATTAAAAGGAATGCATTGTATTATTTAACCGCGCTATGGCTTTTTGAGTCAGAGTTGTAGATGGAATATGTCTTTGGTTCTGAGTTGGGAATTCGCTCTTTTCTTCTTTGATGCGAAATAATTGGTGGTTGTCTCTCATTAAAATAGAAGTGGTGGTGGTGTGGACTAAATAAGTTGCAGCTCGACTTATATTAGAGCGCCGAGTAAGCCCCCATATTTGATGCCTGGGGTTATTGGCCGATAAAGGCGAGCGAAGTGGACACTTTAGGCTGTTTTAGAGCAAGGTCGTATTACTACTCACAGCTTGCTTCTGTCATCTACCAGTTCCTGCAGTTTATATCTTATTTTTGTGCTTCTTAAGTAGCGGGAAGATGATACAGCGTTTTTGAAACTACTGAGATTTAGGAGAAGGTTTTCTGGTCGTTGGCGATGGGTTTTTTGGAGATGATCAAGAGGATTGGATATGCGGTGCTTTTGGCGCTGTATGTGGGGGTTTACTTGCGGGTGAGTTTTGACTGAGTATGTTGTTTTCTTTGGGATATTGCTGATTGGGTATTTGCTTGGGAAAGATTATGCATTGGAGGAGACGGCCAGTGATACGAGGGACGAGAGGGAGTGGTGAGAGTTGATGATGGCGGTATAGAAGGTGCGCTGGTTATTGGCAACCCTGCTGCTATATATCAGACAATGATGAAAACAAAAATGCTCTAAAGTCTATTGATCTGTTTCGTCTATTGCCATATACATGCACTTCACCACCCCGTCGACCCGCCATCAATCCGCAAATCCGTCCCGGTAACATAGGAACTCGCGTCCGCCAGCAGAAACACCACCGCGCCACGATACTCTTCCGGCCCGGAAATCCTCTTGAGCATCGCCTCCTGTTCCCAAACCGTGGTCCACTCCTTGTGCGTGAGGACCTCTTTTGTCATTGGCGTGTGGATGACGCCGGGGCTGATGGAGTTTACGCGGATGGCTGGCGATGATGAAGAGCCCCATTCGCCGGCGAGGGAGCGGGTGAGCTGGTGGACGCCGGCTTTGGAAGCGGAGTAGATTGCGGTGGGAGTGGCCTGTGGTATTGTTAGTTGATGAGTTCTCAGCTTTCTTTTGATATAGAACAAGACAGGTTGTAACAAACAAACAACAACAAAAGACAACTCACCTTGTTAGAGATATACCCGCTCATACTCGCCACAAACACAAAACTCGCCCCTTGCTCTTCAACGCTCCTCCCCTCCGCAACCTGTTTCCTCACCACCTTGGCCGCCGCCTGCGCCACGTACAAACTGCCCGCCAGATTCACATCCAGCGTCCACTTTGTCTCGTCTTCGGAGTAATCGACCGAGTCGCCCACCGTGCCGACGCCGGCGCAGTTGACCAGACCTCTAAGAGGGAAGGGAACTTCTGAGGCGGCTTTTTCGAATACGGATGAAAGCTGGGATGGGGAGGTGACGTTGCAGGCGTGGTATGTGAGGGATCGAGAGAGGGATTTGGCGAGGGCTTGGAGAGGTTCTGAGGTTGGAACGCGGCGTTAGTTTTTCTCTGTTTATGAAGAAGAAGATGAATTATATAAGTCTGCATTGTAGTTACCCCATGTTGCTGCTGGTGGAATCTCGTCGCGGTCAATGCCAATGACATCGCCGCCAGATTCGAGGATTGCTCTTGTGAGCTGAGAACCGAGACCGCCGGTTGCGCCAGTAACTTTAGAATTTCGAATCAAAGTCAGTAAAAGATACAGTTACTTCATAGAGGGAAAAGGTATTTCAAAGGGGCTTACCAATGATGGTTCTTTCTCTCAAAGAAAAGAGATTGGGGGTGCTTGTGTTGCGGAATGTCTGATCTGTGGCTGTCTCTGTGGAACCCATGATGGCTTGTAAGTGATTTGATTGAGGTGATTTGACTAAAATTGGCTTTTGGGAAAAAAGGCGCGAACGAAACGTATCGATGGTAGATTTTATAGATTTTTCTCTCTCTCTTCAATGTCTATGGAAGGTATTTTATATACTTTTAATGCTTCAATACTCTATCCTTCATGCCCCACGCCTCACGATGTCTTCACTCTTACATGCGGATTGTTTAGTGTAAGTGGGCTCATTCCGCACCCACATGTTGCTAGCGGCGGCCCCATATGCCGCCCGCCCGCCTCGAGTGCTGTTTGACATCGCTTGGAGAACTAAAAGCAAAAGCAAGTTCCCGGCAGATCAAATCAGGCAGCAGTTGAACAGGGCAGATGATCAATACATTGTGAGATTTTGGAGAGTCTAGAACACTGTGATTGCCGATTGTCGCTGCTGTTTCGGAGTTCAGCCGTCCATCTGGCGTATGTCTTGCTCAGAGTTTCCAACGACTAGACACAGAAGCACTGGTTAGTTGATTTGGGTTTGAGAATTATTAAGCAGTAGTTGCAGGAATGAGTCAGGAATTGAAACTAGTTGCGAGAGCTATGTTCATTTACGAATAACAAAAGTCGACTTGGAGAGACCATGTATGTCTTAATTTCCTTGGCAATTAGCTAAAAGTAATAAATAGGCCTAAGTACCTATGCGTTTAGTATTCTATAGGATAATAATAGTAATGATGAAAGAGATTGCTCTCTACCTATAATTGGTTTGTCTTTAGTACGAAACAATATACTGTTCGACGCCTATAGTCGGTTTACCTAGAACTACTATACAACAATTAGTAACAAATAGCTACATTAATAATTCTATAGCCTATGTACTACAATTCTTATATTTATAATGAACCACTCTAGTTTATTCCAACTAGTAGCATTCACAAGCATCAAGCTTCGCACGTATCCAAACCCATTTCCCAGGCACCGCCCAAAATCCCAGCGGAACGGCGGCCCGACGCTCCACTCATCTCCCCGCATCGGAAAGCGGCCCGCCGGCATCCAGTCACGCGGACCCAGCTCGTATCCAAATCTTTCACGATTTTAGTTTCCTAATACTTTGGAGTTGCGAGTTGCGGCAGGCGAGCGGAGGGCAGGCGACTCTAAAGCAATAACTAGAGTTGATTATTAAGGGACGCAGCTGATCTTTTTGGTTTAACCGGCAGTGGGTACATGTTAGCCGAAATGTTTTGTAAAGGAAATTGAGGCGAGGCGAAGTCGGAGAGTGAGTTCACGATGTGGATTTAGGGTGAGATTTCTAAAGGAACTGTTATGAGTGAAAGGATTTCTTTTAGTCAGTAGATACTTGACGAATGGACATATATATCACTCCTCTATTCAGCCGTTGCTGCCATCGCTCTGTACACATGTAACCATTCGATCTATACAACTCACTTCAAACCAACCAATTTATAACCATTGTATACAAACGCATTAACACAATTACATCATCATGGCTCGCTCCATGCTCCATCGCCTCGAAGACCTCTGCAACGTCGACGTCGACGATGCCGACACGGGACTCATCAAGAGTATCCCATTTACGCCCCATAACCGTATGTCTACCACTCAATCCCATCTTGATATCCAAGAATATAAGAAATGAAGTCAAGAGCTAACGATCCGTCATCCATGTTCGAAAGAAACTTCCAACCAAGCCATCATCACAGGGGCCCTTCTCGCCGATGAAGCCCTCTTAAAAGACCTCGTTCGCCAACATGGCTCCCAAGGCTGGGAACGAGTCTACGATCAAGCTGTAAGAATCCCCATCTCTCAAAATCCTTCAAAAGACAAATCTCACTTACACGCACCATCAAGGCCATCAACCTCACAGCCCGCAACATCCCCCTCCTCTCCGGCCGCGTCCTCATCCAAACCTCCCTCCGCCACATCTCCTCCTCCTCCGCCACCATCGCCCACGCTCGCACCCTCGCCAGTCTCTACGCAGCCGCCGGTGTCTCGCGCGACCGCTTCGCCATCAAGCTGCCCTTTTCCGGTGCTGCCGCCGCCGCTGCGCGCGTGTTGAACGCAGAGGGCATCCGGACGCTGGCCACGAGCGTGTTTTCGCTGGAGCAGGGCATTGCGGCTAGTCAGAGCGGGTGTTTGTTTATTAGTCCCTATTATAATGGTGAGTTTTGTGATTGGATGGATAGAAGGGGTTCAGAACTTACGTCAAGAAGACAAGGCCTCTTGTAAGTCATGGCCACCGCTAACAAAATTTTGAATTAGAACTTGCGGCACACTCAGATGCTTCTCTTCGTCCTTCTTGCGAGGATCCCGCTCTAGAGGTATGCAGATATCATGTTCCTCGGATGCCATCAAACCCAGCCAGAAACAGCACAATGAAGAAGAAAAGACAAGAGAGAAGGAAAACAAGACTAACCGCAACAGCACCCCATGTCCCCTCGCATCATCCACATCCTCGAAGCTTTCGCCAAAGCATACCGCGAAACCGGCAAAGAACAGCCCATCATGGTCATCGCAAGGTATGTAATGCACAAAACATCTCAATCTTACCACCGAATCCTCCCACGCCACAGATAAACATTAGACTAAAACATCGCATTCATCAAATCAGCCACTTCACCATTGGCGAAATCATGGCCATGGCCGAGCTCGGCTGCCCCCATGTCACCATCCCTCCGCACCTCATCAAGACGCTCCTGGAAACCCCTGACACCCTCCCTTTACCGACGACGAAAAAGGCCAAGCTCAGCTACGCCGAGTTTGCCACGGCGCAGCGGCTCACGAAGCTGTCCACCATCGACCCCCTGGCCGGTCCGGACTGGGATGGTGTGCTGGCGGATATGCAGACTGATTATGTTGCAAACGACGGCGAGAAGCTGGATGAGGCGCTCAGAAGAGATGCCATTGCTAACAAGAGGCTGAAAGATGCAGAGGTGTTTTTCATTGAGATGGAGAACAGGGCCAAAGAGGCTATCGAAAAAGAGATTGCGGCTCAAGGACTGTAACTATATACACAAAACTCTTCCGCCTTGCTTAGAATCAGTAGATTAAGAAACATAACGTATACAATAGAATCTTTACACGTCGAGGACACCACATAATGCCACATATCATCGCATCATATCATCATCAGTGTCTTTGTCTGTCGCGAAGCCGTAGCTTTCTGGCAACTGAATTGACGATTTCCAAATCGTGTTCAGCACTCGTGCCAGGTCGCGCCCAGGGCTCAACTACTTTCACGACGCTCTGGCGACATGCGTCAATGTCCGTCACGAGATGGCCCAGATGGGGCGAATTAGCCGCCAGAGCAAGGACTAAGAAGCAGTTCACAGAGCTAATGTTGAAGTCAGTCGAAATCTGCATCCTCATTTCAAGCTTCCCAAAGTCAGGTAATTGAGAGCACTTACAACTGCAGTGAGCTATACGCATACGGCGTCCTGTCCGCGAGCAAATATCCGACGCCATGCAGAAACGCTCGACATGCAGCCAAGCACACTTTCGACTGAGATACCACCGTCGGCGGCATCTCCAGCTCGGCCTTATCAAACTGCGACGAGGTGGCGTGAATGACGAATGGTCTATATATGCTCTGCTTGGCAGACCAATATCGCAAACGGTGTATGGACGCTTGCTTGTTCTGCGGCGGACCATCGTACAAGTCTGGTTTGATGTCCACCGGGAGGGCCTCGTACCACCTTTCAAGTTGGAAATTCAGCTCACTGCACATGCGTAGCAGAGATGCATCTGGGTGTGGAGGTGTCGAAGCTGACTGAGTTGTCGTGAGCGAGTCGAGGGCACGGCCTGCATATATCGTGAGGCTGTCTGTGAAGTAGATAGCGTGATGCATTCGGTTCAGAAGAGAGCGGGCTGATATTTCAGCAAGAACGCAGAGATGCTCGAGCTTGGGGCTGGTGCCGTAGTTGGGAAAAGGCATCCGGTCCACGAGTACGTCGATACCGCTCCTAGGCTGATGAAACTCTGCAAGAATATCACTATAATTTCAGCTAGTTAGCATTCATCTATGCTCATCGTACCACCTGTGCCAAGTGATGGAATTTACCTTTCAACAATAAAGCACACCCAACTCAGCCGAGTCAACTCCTGAATCTCAGCTTGGCCAGATAATATATCCTTACACCTACACTCCTAGTCAGCCATCACACGTCACCAACCCACAAGACGTAAAAAGTAAAACATGGGGATTCTTACCGAATCAAAAGCTGCTGTATGCTCGTCGCAGCCATATGTATCAGCCTCCACGCCGTCAACGGCTGCACCACATACGTGAAATACAGCGCGCACAAGATGAGCCCCTGCGACAGCTGAATGTTGCCACTAAACGACACCGTCCATGCCGGTATCAGGATGCGGAGTGCCCTTTGCATGCAGACATCGCCCGTGTTCTCGCTCTGCTTCCGGTTGATGGGGTCAGATGCCGTAGCTCCCAACGCAAAAATGGCCAGGAACACGCCAGATCGGATATCGGTGCCGAGGCCTTGTCTCATTACCACTTCGTAGCTTGCGAGGAGGTCGTCTCGGTCAAAAATGGGATGGAAAGCGTGCACCATGGCAAGAAAGCTATTAAGGTAGTCATCCGCAACCGTTCTGTCGACGTGCTCTTCCTCGGCCTGCAGGCCTGGAGCCGCCATAAAGTCCAACGCTGTAGACCGACTCCTATCGTCCTCGACCCGAAAAAAGAAATCTTCCGGATAATCACCCACTAAAGGGCGCATCTGCGGCAGCCTCAACAGACTGCTGGTGCTCGTCTGGTGACCCAAAGGTATCGTGATTGGCGGCACGTTATCGGCATTCACGCCTTGTCTTGACGAATCTCCTCCTTCCTGCGTGGTAAGGGCCCAGGTGGAATGGGGCATCGAGGACTCGTTTGATGGCGACAATCCACTGTCATTATCGATGCTTTCCGTGTGCCGGCGAAAAAAGTCTGGCAATGGAGGCGACATCATGAATGCAGGCGAAGTTCTGCGCTGCTGCTGCTGATGTGCTTTTTCGTGCTGCAAGGCTTTCAGTGCATCGGCGTGCTCTCCCAGCAGCTTCTCGATACTTTCGAGCCGCTGGAGCATGACATCCGAAGCCGCAGAGGTAGAATCATGGTGATACTCGTTGATTGCTGAAAAGTGAGAATTCCTGCTTCCAATGTTAGTCTCAGATGATATACGGATGACTTCCGCTGCACGCTCTATGACAAGCCATTGCAGCTTCAATTCACGTACCTCGGAGGAGCAACTTCGGTATACCGACAATCGAATCCCTTTTCTCGACACGGCGTACACCGCGGAGTCAAGCCGTCACATCGTTTTTTCCTGTACGATCTTTCAGCCAAAAAGGAATTCGCAAACTGAAGCCATCGTGAATCTGCTTTGTGCCAAGACTTACCGTTGCCGACAGTGCGTGCAGGCAACCATGACTCTTGACTTGCCGGAATTCATAGTTGCCGGTAAATCCTCTGAATCAATTCTTTTAGCTCTAGATTTAAAATTTCCTTTGAACCAGTATTAAAAGCAAAATTGTTGCGGTCAGTCGTTCCGCAGTCTCTTGTTGAAGCAGCAAGGCAGAGAATAACAGCGAGTTGACCAATTGAAATGGAGTAGCAGGTGCGATACCTTTGACAGCTATGCGTCAGCCAGTATGACTAAGCAAGTTGGAATCGCCCTCTACGACAACCCGAAATCATGGAATGAGACGCCGCAATACGCGCTTCACGCACAAGAAGATACACAAACTGCCAGCTCTGAGCTGTTGAATAACTCTTTTTCCATTTCTAATGCTTTGGCCGTCTTCATATAGCGATCACTAACCAAAATGCCCCCATCCGTACGTAGCCATTTCTAGCGCCTTTGGGCTCGCATTTATACAAATCTCTAAACGCCGCCTTTTCCTTGAATAAGAGTTTGGCCTTGGCTCTTCATTTCGGTCATATCGTTCCTATCAGATCAACAACATAGGGGTATAACTGGTCCCGATTTCCTTCCCAAAGGTAGCAGCAGATCAAATAAAGCATAAAACAAAATTGTGAGTAAAAACAAAAGAGAAAAGAAAAGAAAAGAAAAGAAAAGAGACCATATATGCTTGGTTATATAGCAGTTTCTGCCATACTGATGCCCTTCCGTAACTCCACAATGGTTAACTCCAGCGCCGAGTGGTGTTCAATTTTAACACTCAGATCAAGACTGATGACAAGATCAAAGACAAGGGCCATAAACAAATAAAGAGAGGAGCAAATAAAAACCGGCACCGCATTCCGTTAGTCAAAAGTGCCAATGCGCGGCCCAAAGTATTCTCCCGGTTGAAGGTGCTTCAAAGTACACGCCCTGCCCTCGCAGCCCATGTCGGATGCCATATTACCCCACCAGCTGAATTTAGTATCGGTGTATTGCAAGGCAAAGAAGATGATGATGCCAGAGATGGCAATGCCGCAAGACCAAGCTGCTGAAAGAACAAAGTTGTACTGAGCAGAATTGTTAGTATGATATCTGGATAATGGACGCACATGAAGACTCAAAAAGGGAGAAAACACTTACCTTGGACCAAAAAGACACGAAGCGGGTTTTGAGATAGACCCAGGAAATCCACGCAATAGGGACAGACGGCCAGACATACGACATGTTATACGGCGCCCATACAATGCCGCCGTACATGATGGCCACAGGGTGAATTTGTCGAGTCCAAGACCACTGAGGAAACTTTTTATTGAGCATCCAGAAGAAGACGACGACGACGATACCCAGAGGAAATCCAACGAGAATCTCGGTGTATTGGCCATTCTGACCAAAGACCTTTTGTGGTCCGACGGTTCCCCACAGAACAGATGCGGTGAAAAAAGTGTTGACGCCCGGGCATGTAAGCTTGAACTGGGCATCAGGAGTGCAAACGCCAGTGATGCTCTTCATTTGAAAGTTGAGGACGCCAGTGCAGATGATGGTGCTGATAAAAGTGGCGATGATCTGGGCGATGAAGGTCTGACGGGGCGGGATCTTGACGTAGTGGGCGAGCTTGAGATCGTTGCAGAACCAAACGGCATGCGCGCAGGTTACATAGCCAAAGGACTTGAAATAGTTCATGGCCAGCGCGTTGCCATCGACGAAGGAACCGCCAATAAATTCGGCAAGCACATTGAGCGTAACTTCGATACCCGTCATGGCCTTGATGATGCCCACGGGAATGACAAAGACGATGCAGAGCGCCAGGCCATAAAAGACAACTCCGGGAGAAGTGTTGGTGTCCCAGCCAGCGATACCAGCAATGCCCAGAGCAATGGCGATCAGGAGACAAATCAGATACCACCATTCCGGAACCTCGGGGTACGCCTTCATCAATCGGTTGTGAACGTCGAGGACCCTCTCGTCCTTGATCGGGTTCTTCTTGCGGAAGCTGGCGAAGAGAGACTTGAAGCCCATGATAATCTCGTGGCGGTGGTAGAGCACAGCGTATGTCAACGTTGATGTATAGATACCGAAAAAGAACATGTAGATGACAATGTTGCCGGCGCTCAGAAACGGTGGCGAGTATTCCTTGTACTCGGCAGCATGGAACAGTCCTCGATCGTCAACGGCCCGGCTGATGTTGTAGAGCTTACCAAAGTGATCGTACACGCGGTTGCTGTTGATGGGGAGGTAGCCGGTGTCGTAAACGTTACTATACCAGAAAGCAAGAACAACCCAGAAGGATATAAAGACGCCAAAGAAGCGGTTGAGCGTGCTGTAGAAAGGGACCATGAGGGGGTCGGCCGAGTCCCAAAGCAGAACGTTCCAGTCAAAGGTTGGGAACGGGTTGACGCCGAGGCCATGGTTGATGCCGGTGATGACATTGAGGTCGCGGTTGTGGGGGGCAATCCATGACATCCAGTTGAACCTAGACAGGGCTGTGAAGATGTAGTTGGGGAACCAGAACCAAATGAACATGGCGCCGAACATGATGTAGAAGAACTTGATGCGAGACACCTTCCACTTTTTACCAAAAGGCCCCTCTACAGGAGCATTGGCTTCGTTGTGAAAGGCTTTATTGAGGGCAATGGTGACGAGAGAGGCCGGCCACACGCAGTACGAGGGGTAGACCAAGAATCGTCGACAGATGCCCGCCATGCCGTAGCCAATAAAGTTTGTGGCCAGGGCAATAAGCAGTTGGTAGGCGACGTGGGACGCATAAGGCTGGTTGAAGTACTGTGGCAGATACTGCACCCAGATGATGTTGTTGGTGTAGGGAGTGTTGTACGCCACGTTTGCCATGATGGTAATGAGCATATGTTCCTTTTTTGAAAAGGGTCCTGGGTTAAGAGAGTGGTAGGTGCCGAAGAGGGTGAAGCCGACATCTGGCAACCAATTCTCGCAGGCCTTGCCAACTGGGTAGGACAGCAGCTGGGCGACATTGGCCATAACGCGGATGGCGGGCTGGCGAATATCGAACAGCTGGTTAATGAAGGCCAAGAGACAGCTGAAAGCCAGACCAATGGCCCAGCTGCGGATCGTTGAGCACGGCGTAGTGATGTCGTCTTTGTTGCTGACGACGGCGCGGACCTCTGCATATGGACTGTTGCTTGTGACAAGAGCAGCTTCCAACTTCATCTCTTGAATCAGATGCTGATGCTTCTCGGGGTTGGAGAATACGGATTCGTTCTCGAGAAAGGCCTTGATCTTGAGTATAATGACGGAGGGAAAGTTGTGGTCGTTCTCGTGGACGCGAAAGACTCGGGCCATGATATCGCGGACCTCTTCGAGCGTATACCGGGAGGCGAGTTCCTGTGCCTCGAGCAAATCATCTTCGGTGACATTGAGGTCGTGCTCGGTGGTGTTTTGCGTGGGGTAGTAATCGCGATCGTCTTCGTCATAGGAAAAGGGCTCCTGCGAATTGGGAGGGGCAAAGATGGCCCAGAGAGTCAGCGCCGAGATGCAATGCAATTCAAGAAGCCGAAACTAGAGAGGGGAGAAGGCGAGGAATGGGCAGAGGAAGAGAAGCATGTAGAGGTGAGCGAAGAGGAGAGATGGAGCATGCCAAGTCAAGTGAATGAGCAGCGTCTTTCAATCATCGCCTGCTTTCTTCTTATTCTTTCCCCCATGCTCTCTATACATCATTCCAGTTCCTCAAAACTCGACGACGCCTGCATTGCTACTTTGCGCAACAGTTGCCTATGGGTAGCTTGAAGGTGGGATTGAAGCTGTTCTCGCGATGGCTTCCTTACCGAAATGACATCCTTGATGTTGTCTTCGACGACGGACGGGCGAGACGAGTTGGCCGAGGGCATTTCAGCCACGCCATTCGTGGGAACGGCCTTTTCGTCTTCAGCCATGGCCAGTGCTTGTTTGCGAGATCGGTCGGATTAGCGAGAACTGGGGGAGAGCGAGATTGACAGGTCAAAAAAGGCCGTCAGAGAGCGCTCTCTCTCACTTCCCGCGCTCTCTCGTCGCCGGTCGTTTGTCGCCTGAGTCTCAAATTCGCAGGCAAAAGGAGCGTTGGAGGGCCAGCGAGGCCACAGGCGGCACGAGGGGCGAAGAAGCACGAAGAAGCGCCAACTCTCGGGCCAAGGCTGGACTTGCAGTGAGGTTGGAGAGAAGTGGGAGGGTGGGAAAAGTTGAGAAGAGATCAGATCACAAAAAGACGCCAAGGGTAGGCCGCTGGAGGGATGGCGGCTTTGGGAATGCTGGGGGGCTCTTCAGGCCCCGGTTCAGCGGTCGGAGGTGCTCTGTGGCGGGCGCTGTCGGCAACTTTCCAGGGACCTTCTGGGGCTGTCGCTGTCGGCCAGCGGCTATCGTTGATCCGTCCGGCGGGTCTGCGCAGTGGCGGAGAGAGAGAAAAAGGTACACGGCGCATGTGGTGCAAAAGGGGATGGTGCAGGTACTCCGCAGGTAGCGACGACGGCCGCACACTTCAATGCTTCTGCATCAAGAGGCGAACAGCGAGTTTAGCAGTGCTTGGCGCCTGTGGTCTAGATGTGGAGTACTTGGGCGGTACCTTTTTCTGGGGCCGAAACGCCAGGCGAGTGTGGTAGCGACGAAGCAATAGCGGCAGTGCCAAGAGGCTCTGGATTGCCGGTACGGGGAACATCTTTGATGCTGCTGTAACAGCTTGGCTGCGCCTCAATGCGACAGTAACAGGAACGTTTGCACTATCTGCTGCCGCACACCAAGTAGATGCTATGTATTCTTGGCAGTCTTTTTCTTAGTAGCTTGATGTTGTGTTTAGCCAGGCGAGCAGCAAGTCTATTCGTCAATACAAATACCGCTTGGCGGATTGATATAAGAGGTTGATGGCATTTGATTCCATGTTCACATGTTCCCAGCGCTGCAATCGCTATCAGGACCCCTACCAGCATCTACTGAAGCGGTAAGCTCTGCAGCAGTTTCACAACATTGAACTCCGCCGTTACATCAACACAATGGATGTGCTCAATATCTACATCCATCTCCATCCCATTGCCAGCACCAGAAAACTCTTCAAAGCTCCATTTCATCAAGCGGGAAGCGGCCAAAGTTCCCGCGGATATCTTGTGCCGACCGCTCCAACATCTGCGAGTCGCAAGTATCTCGGCGTTGGACTTTGGAGTGTCTTCGTTCTTCTACTTCACGTCCTTGTCCTCTCACAAAACGGCAAAATCGGCTCTTTTGAGGCGGGTTTCCAGCGCCCTTCCCTTAGTGGCGGGATCGTCAGCCGTGTCTCTCTTTGTAACGACCAGCTCCCCACCGGCTCATCAGATGCGTTGCATCACTCCAATGCCTCAAGGCGCTGTGCCAACATTGGCAGTATCGGCCGCATAATACACGTATTGCTACCATCAAGTGGATGCACTGCAAAGTCCGCCACCAGGAGTAATGGCAGCAGCAGCAGCAATATCTGGTCAACAACATCACAGTCATCGTTATACGAGCAACGGCGCATCATCCAAGCTTCGATCCCCAATGCGTTAATCTTGGAGTATGGGCAATACTTGTACATGTCGTTGAATTTTGTTGCTGCTGCCATCAAGTGATATGACCGGCGGAGTATCCTCTCGCCATTCCCGCCAGTCCAGCAACGCTTCTAGCGGCTTGTTTCGAAGCCTCTCTGCGTATGCTGCGTATTTCTGCTCGTGATAGGCGCGCTAGGAGCTGCTACTCGGCTCACGGCAGTCAGAAAGCAAGGCTCGTGGCTCTGGTCCCACCAGATGGCTGGCGATCGGCTTGGACGGCACGAGGACAGCGCAAGAGCCAACTGCCAGAACAACAAAGCTGTCAGCAGAGACTGAGAGGCTGAGACTGATACGAAGATGCTGGGTAGACTAGATGCGGATCTATCTACCCAATGCTGCGGATTCAGCTCCAAGAAAGACGGTATGCCTCTTGTCTTGTCTTGCCTCAGGCCACTCGTGCATTTCTCGTGTCCCATCTTCCATTTCCATCTTCCATCTTCCCAAGTTACACGACATCAGCCACCGACCACCCCGTCTTCTCGCTAATCGCCAACAACAGCTAGCACGGACAACTTGTAAAGCATGGAAACCTGAGCCCAACCAAGCGTTCGAAAATATTCCTAGACAAGCCAACGCTTCGTTAGCGGACCCATGGGATCGGATTGGCGAGAGGAAGCGACTGTATCGCTGCCATCAAAAGCCATCCCGGCTGTGGTTGCGTTTGCGCGGGACTCGGCATCGTAGCGCCACCATCATTTCAGCCAATCTCACGGCGTATGCGCTCGAGCGTCCCATATTTGTTTTTGCTTTTTTTCCCATCATGCTGCTCTTGTTGAGACAGTCACTGCAGCTGGAGCCCTGCGCGGCTTGTCCAACCGTCCGCACTTGTCCCTTCATATGGAAGTCTTACAGCATGTATCGCTACTTGATACACACACTCGCCCACCGCCACGTTCTTTGCAATCATGGCGCAATTGGCCTTTCTCTTTTCGTCCTACCCCAAAGGACCAACGAAAGAGACGCACAAAGATAGAGAGAGCTAACCCCAGCTTCTCGGCTCCATTCTTCCGTCTTGGCATTTCTCCCTGCTGACGCGTTCACACGGTGCCACGGCCACAAGCATAAGCGCTTAGCAGATGCCAGTCAACGTGTATATCCAAGCTGCGCAAGTAGCAAAAGTTGCAAATAACAAGAGTATAAGAAGAGACAAACCGCAAACAGTTTGGAAGGCTGTCGATTTTGCGGCTTGATACTTGCAGTAGTCCCTCTATTGACAGCCCAAACCACAGTCACAAAATGAGCAGTACCAAGTACTAAGGTGTTGCGACCCTAACCAACATCAAAAGCTGTGCATCTATCAAGTCCGGTTAAATCATCAGACTATGAATTCCGCTGCAATGTACTAGTGGATATCACCTCATAGTTGTGAATGGACTTTGCGTGTGCCTAGATGTGCTACGATATCAGTCGCCTCTATGGAACATAACATGTCGCTTCCTCGGGTAGGCAATCTGTTTTTGGGGGGTGCTTCGAAGATCAGCAACTTCGTATATTGGCTTCACAGCTCGTGGCCAATGAGGACGAGACTAATCTACCTAATACCGCTCATTATACTATGGCTACATACCCAATCATTATACGCCCGCTATTAGCAGAGAGAAAGTGTGTGTGTGGGCATTACCTCCTAACCTTATGAGTTTCTCATAAATTACCTTTATATACACGTGTCCCCTCTTATCTCATCTCGTGTTTTTGTTTTCCTTTTTTCCCTTTCTCTGTCATAAGCTCTTCATCGACGACGATCTCTACAATGCCGCTTGCTCATCGACTGATAGACTGTGGCCATTCGCGAGAATCAGGCTAGAAGATGAAAAAGAAAGAAGAAAAAAAAATCTCAGGTATAAACTCACGATAGCCAACAGCAAGCTCCGAAAGAACGCTTCCTAAGTATCGGAAAGGATGTACACTCTCGATAAACACGAAAAGAGCAGTCACTCAGACGTTGGTCGGGGGGCTCGATATTGACTTTCTGTCCTAGTAGCAAACCGAGGTCGGCCTACTTTGTCCATTATCGTTCGTAAGGAGATATCACACGCCCAGAGGCTTTCATCAAAAGCCCGTTAGATGAGCACGAATCAACACCCAGAACCAACCACGAATTCCGCCGTTTGAGGATCCTCAGCAACCATATCCTACGGCTTCTTTACCACCAAAACCTTACTTCCGATATTTATACTCAGCCGTCACATGAGCGCTGAACCTCTCTTCATCTTAATTTCCTGGCAATCGAACATGGAATCTACCACGTTATCGACCTTGTGCGCACTTCGAACTCGTTAATGCGACTCGAGAGAATAAGCTTAATCTGAATTGCTCGTTGTCACCATGCCTCCTTCTCTAAATCCCAGCAGCTGAAAGACCTGTTTTGTCTCATTGGTGAGGAGAGCCCAAGGTATTCTTAAGCCCGCGATTGATTGTTCCCTAGACAATAGGAAAAATCCTCAAGAGGGCGGCTGAGAGGCTGGCTGTCATAGAGACAATGGCCTACTTTCCGACGTTGGTCGCATCAAGCCTCCACCCATTGTATACGGCATGGCTGCTTGTTCATATGGTCTCGTTCTGACATGCTTTGAGGACAAGATCAATTTTATGAGATGCTTTGACTCGCGCATCTAATCTGCGACGTCTTTGTGCGGTAAAACAGAAGCTATCCGAATGGCTAGACAGATAATAACGAATCTACCCAAGCTGAAGAACCCGAGTAGCAGCTTCATGTCAGTGTCAGCTGAAGTTGGTTATCGATTCAAAGTCTAAAGGTTGGTATATTTGTGATCATACCGAGAACAGAAGTCTACCTTGGCAAAATGGTAGGCTCAAGAGCTGAGTTTTGCTTCCTTGTCTCTATTCCTTAGCTTGCCTACTTTATCCGTTTGCAGTAGCAAGTGCTATCCAAGCTCGTTGAAGCCTCAGAAGATGCTTTACTCAAATGTTGAATTAAGCGCGTATCAGCGACGGTTATTGTCATGCCACACAAGACAGAGAGAATGAAGATATATAGAATAGGGGAGGTTCGCAGATGTTGTGTGCACCTAGTGACAGATGTGCAAAGCATACAGAAGCCATCTAGAAAACGTGGCTATGAATCAACAAGTCCTACTTGACATGAGAAAGTCCCTCCCGTTCCTGGCCATAGGACATTGAAACTCATCGTCATCGATGGCTATCGTATTAATGGTGGAAATAAACGTTGTTTCCCGGGTAGGGATATGTACCAAGAGTATTTGATACTTTATATCGCATGCGCACCTTGCATATGCTCTGCTTTGCCTAACATACATTAGCTCGTGGCAAGATGTTCTCAAATATGTTTTTGCTGTCACAAGTAAAGTGCGATTATAGCGAGGATAGCTCTCATGTAATAACGCTGTTGCCCAGAGCTAAAGCTCGTCCTTTACTTGGAAGACAAAGAGATGAGAGAGGGGAAGGAAGACAATGATGATAGTCGAAAGCACAGCTTCTTTTCATTTCAGCCTTTGTAATTTTGGCAATGACAAGAGATTTACATTCTCTACTGTTAGCTCCCTCCTGACGTGTAGGCATGCCTGGGATATCGTCCGATAGAGCACACTGTGAGTTGCATCTGTGCCCCTCAGTTTCAAATAATTTCTCCAGTCAAAGTAGTTACATGTAGCTTACATATCTGCAGTGGCTGCTCCATCGCCAACTGCCTTAGAGTTATTTACTGAGAATAGCCTCAGCTCTATTATATGGCCAGATCAAAAGAATGACCGGCTTCACGCCCATCAGATAGAGGCTACAGCATCCTGGCCGCGACGGTTGGCAGAGCACTCAAAAGCTGCGAGAAAGATGCGGTGATAGGCCAATTGAATCAAAATTCCAGTCTTGTAATCGCCTATACTTCCTCTACTGCCAGCGTCGATCAAGTTACCGCCACGCAGGCTATTGAGAATGCGCTGTCAGCGGCTATGTGTATCTACTTGACTCCTAGACCGTTGTCAACCGACGGCAACTCCTGCTTTGTTATGAGTCTGTAAAACAGAAGATATTAATCTCAATTATCAAGATACAGTACCAAATCAGGCTCCATTTTTTGGGCGGAAGGCTGTCGAAGACATTCTCCAGAGACACTCAGCTTCCGGTCGACAAAATCCTTCCCAGCAGCACTGCTGCGTCTGCCATGATTTCTTCTCCATTATTTCACAACTGGAGCAAAGCCTTACCATCTGTAGAGTCTCTTCGTAGCGTCGCTTGTATATCTGACGTTGTTTCTCAAAATATTCAATATATATATGTTTTACAATGTTCGGGTCCCCCTTGAACGATACTACTAAAAGCAAAACTTTTGTAGTTCTTTTCTCGAAATTATGATGAGAGTAGAAAATCTTGTGACCCTTAACATTAATTGCTTTTCAGATATACGTGTACTATGCCTTTGCAAGAGAAGCAGACAGTCACGCTGCTTCTCGTGCGCGGAAGAGGTTAACACAGCTGATCCCAGCAACGCGACAAAGTTCCTCATTTCCCTCTTATATCCAGAGTGCCAATACAAGATGACGCTTCTGTATCTGATTCTCTCTTGTGTGGTGGTGTGTTGGGCCATGTCCTCAAAGCGCGCGATTGTGTGCTCAATGGGCGACACAGCTCATGAGACATGCTCCATGGTTGGACATGAGTTAACAAGACTGATGTGAGGTTTTATGAAACAATTGTTATTGCAGGCTAGCAGTTGTTTCTCAGCTGCTATAAAGTTCTTGCTCTGAATATTATGAGCTTGTTCAAGGTAAGCCATTGTACATCATGTCAAAGTGCCAACTAAGCTAGAGTCCAAATATATCACCAGTTGGCAGCTGTACTAAGAGCTTTTATACAATAAACTTGCGTCTCTCATGTAAATTTCCTATCTTGCTGTATTGGTTATGAAATTGGAACACTTTGTCCTGTGGACCAATTTTTACAGCTTCATTTAGCTCTTTCACTTAAGCAACCAACTTCACATCTGTAGCGCGTCAAATGATCGGAAAGGGGTATTTTGTAAAGACCTGGAGGGAATAGTCATGCTT